GAAATGTGTGGAGTGGTTGAAAAACGAGTTTTAATGACTCCAACCTAAGTGTATGTAAACCTCCGACTTCAACTGTATATGTAGGCCTGTAAAACATTTTTTGTTAATGACATTACTATATTTTGTATGTAATTTGTTCCTCTGGTGAAATAGTGGAGGGCAGTTCAGTGACCCTGACCTGCAGCAGTGATGCCAACCCACCAGTAGACAAATGACCTGGTACTAGAAGACGTCAACCTCACCAAAAGCATCAGGTGTCAGTAAATTCTGTATTTGTTTGTGCACAAAGTAAACCACTCCAATTCTACCCAATAGAGAGATAAGATATTGTTTAAATGTTTTGCTAGAGGGGTGGATGACACACATGCGCGTGCACACACACACTAGGTTTGGGGTGGACAGGGGATCTGTCTCATGTACCAGTACAAGTTAGATATATAGGAAATCTAGGATACATCCCAAATGGCACCCTATTCCCTATTTAGTGCACGATTTTTGCCCAGGGTCCATAGGGAATAAGGTGCAATTTGGGACACAGATTAGTTACATAGGATGACATTTAGATGTGTGAACATGTGATGTGACACTCACCGGTGGTCAGGAAGACCCTCAGGAGGAAGAGCAGGATAGCGATCCAGGATCCAGGGAAACATGAGCCAGCTGCAGGGGCAATAAACGGAGCCAAAGCTAACTCTAATGCTAACAAACAAGTCACAGGCATAGAGACAAGCTAATGCTAAGCTAATGCTAACAAACAAGGCACAGACATAGAGACAGGCTAATGCTAAGCTAGCGGTTCTGCTGGACCTGGTCCTGGACCTTGTAACCCTTCGTGGCTCATCAGAGCAGAAGACATTGCTGTCCATGCTACTGCTGCTGGAGGAGCTCAGGCTGGGCTGCAGGGCCGGGCAACACTAGAACGGGACAGGAAGATCTGACTGCTCTCGATGGCCCTCAGGGTCTGAGCCATGCATGACAAATCAAATCAAATCAAAATTTATTTGCCACATGCGCCGAATACAACAGGTGTAGACATTACTGTGAAATTCTTACTTACAAGCCCTTAAGCAACAATACAGTTTAAGAAAAAACTAAAAATAGCAAGTAATTAAAGAGCAGCAGTAAAATAAAATAACAGTAGGAGGTTATATACAGGGGGTACGGGTACAGAGTCAATGTGCGGGGGCACCGGTTAGTCGAGGTAATTGAGGTAATATGTACATGTGGGTAGCGTTAAAGTGACTATGCATAAATAATAATAAACAGAGTAGCAGCAGCTTAAAAGTGGGGGTTGGGTGGGGGGGGGGGGGGACAATACAAATAGTCCGGGTAGCCATGATTAGCTGTTCAGGAGTCTTATGGCTTGGGGGTAGAAGCTGTTGAGAAGTATTTTGGACCTAGACTTGGCACTCCGGTACCGCTTGCCGTGCGGTAGCAGAGAGAACAGTCTATGACTAGGGTGGCTGGAGTCTGATAATTTTTAGGGCCTTCCTCTGACACCGCCTGGTATAGAGGTCCTGGATGGCAGGAAGCTGGGCCCCAGTGATGTACTGGGCCGTACGCACTACCCTCTGTAGTGCCTTGCGGTCAGAGGCAGAGCAGTTGCCATTATCTTGTTTACTTAACTATATATATATATATATATATATATATATATATATATATATATATATACACACACACTATCGTTCAAAAGTTTGGGGTCACTTAGAAATGTCCTTGTTTTCCATGAAAACATACATGAAATGAGTTTGAATAGGAAATATAGCAAAATGCATAGGAAATGGTGGAAATGGTGGAAATGGTGGAACAAGCTCCCTCACGACGCCAGGACAGCGGAGTCACTGACCACCTTCCGGAGACACTTGAAACCCTACCTCTTTAAGGAATACCTGGGATAGTATAAAAGTAATCCTTCTACACCCCCCACCCCATCCCCACAAAAAATAAATAATAATAATAATAAACAAACTTAAAAATATATATTAATATATATATAAAACAAATGAAAATTAAAAATATACTCTAGAAATAAAAAAATTATAAAATAAAAAAATTGTAAAGTGGTTGTCCCACTGGCTATCATAAGGTGAATGCACCAATTTGTAAGTTGCTCTGGATAAGAGCGTCTGCTAAATGACGTAAATGTAAATGTAAATGAAATATAGTCATTGACAAGGTTAGAAATAATGATTTTTAATTGAAATAATAATTGTGTCCTTCAAACTTTGCTTTCATCAAAGAATCCTCCATTTGCAGCAATTACAGCCTTGCAGACCTTTGGCATTCTAGTTGTCAATTTGTTGAGGTAATCTGAAGAGATTTCACCCCATGCTTCCTGAAGCACCTCCCACAAGTTGGATTGGCTTGATGGGCACTTCTTACGTACCATATGGTCAAGCTGCTCCCACAACAGCTCAATAAGGTTGAGATCCGGTGACTGTGCTGGCCACTCCATTATAGACAGAATACCAGCTGACTGCTTCTTCCCTAAATAGTTATTGCATAGTTTGGAGCTGTGCTTTGGGTTAATTCTATTCCTTACTTAGATTTGTGTGTATTGGGTATGTGTTGTGAAATTGTTAGATATTACTTGTTAGATATTACTGCACTGTCGGAGTTAGAAGCACAAGCATTTTGCTACACCCACAATAACATCTGCTGAACACGTGTATGTGACAAATGAAATTTGATTTGATTTGAGAGAATGCCAAGAGTGTGCAAAGGTTGGCTATTTGAAGAATCTCAAATATATTTTGATTTGTTTAACACTTTTTTGGTTACTACATGATTCCATATGTGTTATTTCATAGTTTTGATGTCTTCACTATTATTCTACAATGTAAACCCTTAAATGAGTGTCCAAACTTTTGACTGGTACTGTGTATATACAGTGGGGAGAACAAGTATTTGATACACTGCCAATTTTGCAGGTTTTCCTACTTACAAAGCATGTAGAGGTCTGTAATCATAGGTACACTTCAACTGTGAGAGACGGAATCTAAAACAAAAATCCAGAAAATCACATTGTATGATTTTTAAGTAATTCCTTTGCATTTTATTGCATGACATAAGTATTTGATACATCAGAAAAGCAGAACTTAATATTTGGTACAGAAACCTTTGTTTGCAATTACAGAGATCATACGTTTCCTGTAGGTCTTGACCAGGTTTGCACACACTGCAGCAGGGATTTTGGCCCACTCCTCCATACAGACCTTCTCCAGATCCTTCAGGTTTCGGGGCTGTCGCTGGGCAATACGGACTTTCAGCTCCCTCCAATTATTTTCTATTGGGTTCAGGTCTGGAGACTGGCTAGGCCACTCCAGGACCTGGAGATGCTTCTTACGGAGCCACTCCTTAGTTGCCCTGGCTGTGTGTTTCGGGTCGTTGTCATGCTGGAAGACCCAGCCACGACCCATCTTCAATGCTCTTACTGAGGGAAGGAGGTTGTTAGCCAAGATCTTGTGATACATGGCCCCATCCATCCTCCCCTCAATATGGTGCAGTCGTCCTGTCCCCTTTGCAGAAAAGCATCCCCAAATAATTATGTTTCCACCTCCATACTTCACGGTTGGGATGGTGTTCTTGGGGTTGTACTCATCCTTCTTCTTCCTCCAAACACGGCGAGTGGAGTTTAGACCAAAAAGCTATATTTTTGTCTCATCAGACCACATGACCTTCTCCCATTCCCCCTCTGGATCATTCAGATGGTCATTGGCAAACTTCAGACGGGCCTGGACATGCGCTGGCTTGAGCAGGGGGACCTTGCGTGCACTGCAGGATTTTAATCCATGACGGCGTAGTGTGTTACTAATGGTTTTCTTTGAAACTGTGGTCCCAGCTCTCTTCAGGTCATTAACCAGGTCCTGCCATGTAGTTCTGGGCTGATCCCTCACCTTCCTCATGATCATTGATGCCCCACGAGGTGAGATCTTGCATGGAGCCCCAGACCGAGGGTGATTGACCGTCATCTTGAACTTCTTCCATTTTCTAATAATTGCGCCAACAGTTGTTGCCTTCTCACCAAGCTGCTTGCCTATTGTCCTGTAGCCCATCCCAGCCTTATGCAGGTCTACAATTTTATCCCTGATGTCCTTACACAGCTCTCTGGTCTTGGCCATTGTGGAGAGGTTGGAGTCTGTTTGATTGAGTGTGTGGACAGGTGTCTTTTATACAGGTAACGAGTTCAAACAGGTGCAGTTAATACAGGTAATGAGTGGAGAACAGGAGGGCTTCTTAAAGAAAAACTAACAGGTCTGTGAGAGCCGGAATTCTTACTGGTTGGTAGGTGATCAAATACTTATGTCATGCAATAAAATGCAAAGGAATTACTTAAAAATCATACAATGTGATTTTCTGGATTTTTGTTTTAGATTCCGTCTCTCACAGTTGAAGTGTACCTATGATAAAAATTACAGACCTCTACATGCTTTGTAAGTAGGAAAACCTGCAAAATCGGCAGTGTATCAAATACTTGTTCTCCCCACTGTATATATATATTTTACTCTGGGGCAGACTCCGACATTGCTCCTCCTACTATTTATATATTTCTTAATTCCATTATTTTACACTTAGATTCGTTTTTTTTTTTTTGGTATCGTTAGATATCACTGCACTGTTGGAGCAATTAACACAAGCATTTCACTACACCGGCAATAACTAAAAAATTATGAAATTAAAGAGATATTAATGAGTTTGTCTTTTATAGGGCCTGCCATAGCATGGGGATTTTGTATATTTAAATACAATAGCGACCACTAGCGGCTGTCCAGGCTAGATATCCCCATACATTGAGCCTAGGTCAGATGTCAACAATTACATTCTGGTCTATCAGTGAGTCACATCTCTGAACAGACAAAACTATCAATAAAATTGTTCATGCTTTACTGAAACATATTACAACTACACCTGCTGTCTGTTTTTGGAACATAGTGTCCTCTCAAGCGCTTATATGGGAACTACTCAACACCCCACCAATTGATTCTACCCGGACCGTAATCAACGTTGCTCTTTAAACAGGCATGGAGTCAAAACGAACTCCACAAAAAATAGCATTGTAAAATACACATAATTTAGGCCGGCATTGGTTGCCTACTGTTAAACCAGTACCAGAGACTCATCGCCAAAATCCCAAACGCAACAATGGCGTGTCGTACCGTATGTCAACTTCTCCAGCACCGTAAGTACAGTATTTCTGACCACACAACCGCTGCCACTCAAAAAACATGGGCTAACTACCGAATGCTAACTAGATAGCTTCACTGTATACAAAATGACCTTGGGTGTTGCTAAGTACAAGATTAGATGATGAGGACATCATCATCAACAAATGTTAATTATGTAAACTATGACAGTGAGATAGTTTATATAGCTAATCTCGGTTGCTGCATCGCTAACTTGTGGGACGTGGGATTGTGAAAATCAGTTGCCATATTCTTGCTGTCAGATGATGTGGCTGCGTTTTTTCGGGAATTGATTTTCAAGGGATAGCTAGTTCCCAATAACACTATTCCAATGAAGACCAACAAATTGTGAATTCCATTAAATATTTAATCTTCAAACTAGTTTAGGCCTAGGAAATTTGTATTATTCCTAGTGTGTTGTCTAATCATGTACTGCCTATGTATCATTGACTCAGGGTTGGCGTCCAGTGCTGCGTCTGTGCGTCCCTCGGCTGCGGAGGTACGTGGTCAGCGCAGCGTCGTGTTTTCCCGGGAGTTGGCTCGCCAGCGCGCCCTGTACCCGCGCACGGAAAAGATCGAGGTGACCCTGCAAATACCTGGTCTGCAGGGCACCCTGCTTGTCATGAACAAGGGAGTGTCCACACCACACAGCTGTGCACGCCGTGAGTACAGGGATGATACCTGTGTGTGTGTCTGTGTGCCACACAGCTGCATACTTAGTACAGTACAGCCAGTGTGTGGAATACGTTTCATGCATGGATTGTCTGTATGCTGTATGATTTTGTCAAGGCAGTCAGAAAAAGTATATAATATGAATCATATTAAATCTCTCTCTCAGACTTGAAAGAGTGGTATGTAACCAGCTCTGCCCTGGCCTTAGTAGACGGAAAGCCCTGGCCCCTGCATCAGCCCCTCACCCAATCCTGCTCCCTCTCCCTGCTCACCTTCAAAGACACAGACCCACTGCTGGTCAACCAGGTACAACACAACACCACATACAGTGGGGGAAAAAAGTATTTAGTCAGCCACCAATTGTGCAAGTTCTCCCACTTAAAAAGATGAGAGGCCTGTAATTTTCATCATAGGTACACGTCAACTATGACAGACAAATTGAGGAAAAAAAATCCAGAAAATCACATTGTAGGATTTTTAATGAATTTATTTGCAAATTATGGTGAAAAATAAGTATTTGGTCACCTACAAACAAGCAAGATTTCTGGCTCTCACAGACCTGTAACTTCTTCTTTAAGAGGCTCCTCTGGCCTCCACTCGTTACCTGTATTAATGGCACCTGTTTGAACTTGTTATCAGTATAAAAGACACCTGTCCACAACCTCAAACAGTCACACTCCAAACTCCACTATGGCCAAGACCAAAGAGCTGTCAAAGGACACCAGAAACAAAATTGTAGACCTGCACCAGGCTGGGAAGACTGAATCTGCAATAGGTAAGCAGCTTGGTTTGAAGAAATCAACTGTGGGAGCAATTATTAGGAAATGGAAGACATACAAGACCACTGATAATCTCCCTCGATCTGGGGCTCCACGCAAGATCTCACCCCGTGGGGTCAAAATGATGACAAGAGCGGTGAGCAAAAATCCCAGAACCACACGGGGGGACCTAGTGAATGACCTGCAGAGAGCTGGGACCAAAGTAACAAAGCCTACCATCAGTAACACACTACGCCGCCAGGGACTCAAATCCTGCAGTGCCAGACGTGTCCCCCTGCTTAAGCCAGTACATGTCCAGTCCCGTCTGAAGTTTGCTAGAGTGCATTTGGATGATCCAGAAGAGGATTGGGAGAATGTCATATGGTCAGATGAAACCAAAATATAACTTTTTGGTAAAAACTCAACTCGTCGTGTTTGGAGGACAAAGAATGCTGAGTTGCATCCAAAGAACACCATACCTACTGTGAAGCATGGGGGTGGAAACATCATGCTTTGGGGCTGTTTTTCTGCAAAGGGACCAGGACGACTGATGCGTGTAAAGGAAAGAATGAATGGGGCCATGTATCGTGAGATTTTGAGTGAAAACCTCCTTCCATCAGCAAGGGCATTGAAGATGAAATGTGGCTGGGTCTTTCAGCATGACAATGATCCCAAACACACCGCCCGGGCAACGAAGGAGTGGCTTCGTAAGAAGCATTTCAAGGTCCTGGAGTGGCCTAGCCAGTCTCCAGATCTCAACCCCATAGAAAATCTTTGGAGGGAGTTGAAAGTCTGTGTTGCCCAGCGACAGCCCCAAAACATCACTGCTCTAGAGGAGATCTGCATGGAGGAATGGGCCAAAATACCAGCAACAGTGTGTGAAAACCTTGTGAAGACTTACAGAAAACGTTTGACCTGTGTCATTGCCAACAAAGGGTATATAACAAAGTATTGAGAAACTTTTGTTATTGACCAAATACTTATTTTCTACCATAATTTGCAAATAAATGCATTAAAAATCCTACAATGTGATTTTCTGGAAAGAATTTCTCATTTTGTCTGTCATAGTTGACGTGTACCTATGATGAAAATTACAGGCCTCTCTCATCTTTTTAAGTGGGAGAACTTGCACAGTTGGTGGCTGACTAAATACTTTTTTCCCCCACTGTATATAGGTATATATGCACTGAGGTATATAGGACCCGTGTAGGGTGAAGTTGCCCTTAGATCAGGATCAGTTTAGCGTTTCCCCCACTAATGGTTAGGGTTGGGAGAAGAGAAGCTGATCCTCAATCTGTACTAAGGGGAAACTTCACCCTGGAGCGTACAGCACCACAGATAATAATGAACGGAGGTGTTCAGCACAATGGATCTACACTGCAAACATTTTAAATCTTACAGTGCCTTCAGAAAATATTCACAACCCTTAACTTTTTACACATTTTGTTGGGTTACAAATTGGGATTCAAATGGATTTAATTGTAAAACAATATCAACGATCGACACAAAATACTATGTAATGTCAAAGTAAAAAAAAAAAAAGTTTCTTGATTAGATAAGTATTCAACCCCCTGGGTAAATACATGTTAGAATCATCTTTGGCAGCGATTACAGCTTTGAGTCTTTTTGGGTAAGTCTCTAAGAGCTTTGCACACCTGGTGGTACAAAATAGGTGCCCTTCTTTGCAAGGCATTGAAAAATTCCATGGTCTTTTTGGTTGAATCTGTGTTTGAAATTCACTACTCGACTGAGGGACATTACAGATAATAGTACAGTCGTGGTCAAAAGTTTTGAAAATGACACACATTAATTTTCACAAAGTCTGCTGCTTCAGTTTTTATGATGGCAATTTGCATATACTCCAGAATGTTATGAAGAGTGATCAGATGAATTGCAATTAATTCCATATTCCCTCTTTGCCATGAAAATGAACTTAATCCCCCCAAAACATTTCCACTGCATTTCAGCCCTGCCACAAGAGGACCAGCTGACATCATGTCAGTGATTCTCTCATTAACACAGGTGAGAGTGTTGACGAGGACAAGGCTGGAGATCACTCTGTCATGCTGATTGAGTTAGAATAACAGACTGGAAGCTTTAAAAGGAGGGTGGTGCTTGAAATCATTGTTCATTCTCTGTTAACCATGGTTACCTGCAAGAAAACATGTGCCGTCATCATTGCTTTGCACAAAAAGGGCTTCACAGGCAAGGATATTGCTGCTAGTAAGATTGCACTTAAATCAACCATTTATCGGATCATCAAGAACTTCAAGGAGAGAGACCGTCTCCTAAAGTTGATTCAGCTGTGGGATCGGGGCACCACCAGTGCAGAGCTTGCTCAGGAATGGCAGCAGGCAGGTGTGAGTGCATCTGCACGCACAGTGAGGCGAAGACTTTTGGAGGATGGCCTGGTGTCAAGAAGGGCAGCGAGGAAGCACTTCTCTCCAGGAAAAACATCAGGGACAGACTGATATTCTGCAAAAGGTACAGGGATTGGACTGCTGAGGACTCGGGTAAAGTCATTTTCTCGGATGAATCCCCTTTCCGATTGTTTGGGACATCCGGAAAAAAGCTTGTCCGGAGAAGACAAGGTGAGCGCTACCATCAGTCCTGTGTCATGCCAACAGTAAAGCATCCTGAGACCATTCATGTGTGGGGTTGCTTCTCAGCCAAGGGAGTGGGCTCACTCACAATTGTGCCTAAGAACACAGCCATGAATAAAGAATGGTACCAACACATTCCTCCGAGAGCAACTTCTCCCAACCATCCAAGAACAGTTTGGTGACGAACAATGCCTTTTCCAGCATGATGGAGCACCTTGCCATGAGGCAAAAGTGATAACTAAGTGGCTTGGGGAACAAAACATCGACATTTTGGGTCCATGGCCAGGAATCTCCCCAGACCTTATCCCATTGAGAACTTGTGGTCAATCCTCAAGAGGCGGGTGGACAAACAAAAACCCACAAATTCTGACAAACTCCAAGCATTGATTATGCAAGAATGGGCTGCCATCAGTCAGGATGTGGGCCAGAAGTTAATTGACAGCATGCCAGGGCGGATTGCAGAGGTCTTGAAAAAGAAGGGTCAACACTGCAAATATTGACACTTTGCATAAACTTAATGAAATTGTCAATAAAAGCCTTTGACACTGTATACTTCAGTATACCATAGTAACATCTAACAAAAATATCTAAAAACAAAAGGGCCATAGATACTGTATACTTCAGTATACCATAGTAACATCTGACAAAAATATCTAAAATCACTGAAGCAGCAAACTTTGTGAAGACCAATACTTGTCATTCTCAAAACGTTTGACTACGACTGTATGTGTGGGGTACAGAGATGGGGTACACATTCCAAAATATGTTAAACACTATTATTGCACACAGTGAGTCCATGCAACTTATCTGACTTGTTAAGCACTTTTTTTTTTAATGCTTGCCATAAAAGGGGTTGAATACTTAATGATTCAAGGCATTTCAGTTTTTTTTATTTTTTTATTTGTAAATATTTCTAAAAACAAAATTCCACTTTGACATTTTGGGGTATTGTGTGTAGATTAGTGACACAAAATCTCAATTGAATCATCCATTTCAAATTCTGTCTAACACAACAACATTTGGAATAAGTCAAGGTGTTTGAATACTTTCTGAAGGCACTGTATGTATATATATATATATATATATACTTGTTTTGAATTGATCTCGCTCACCCAGAAAATGCATCAAGATAATTGGTCCTTTTTTAAGATATTCTGACTTGTTTCAAGCCTTTTTTTAGGTTAAAGTAAGCAAAATGATTTGCCAGTGCACTAAGATAATTGACCTTGTTAAGACGTCAAGTCATTGCATTCTAATGTTAAGAGATCCAGTATCTAGGTAAGATCAACATTTCTGCAGTGTACATGTAGACTCTAGTGTACAGGGCCATAGATCCTGTATACAGCAAACTTTTAACACCAGCCATATTCGCCCCCAAAGTGGTGGTTTTCTGGTGGTGGTTACTGACTGATCTCAGAATAATGTCACTGTAGTGATTGGCTGATGGTTTATATTTATGTGTGTGTGTGGCCTCTCTCTCCCTCCATAGGCATACTGGCGGTCGTGTGCAGCCCTCCTGGGCCAGGTCCTTCAGGATGCCTTTAAAGAGGACTTCTCTGTGGAGCTGCTCAGAGTCCCAGAGGTGTCAGGTATATGCCAGGAAACACTCACACCCATGTTTTCCCTACCATTTTCAGTAAAAAAAACATCAAGAAATTACTAGCATCTAGCTAACAGATAGGAACTGAATCCTATGGGGATTGGGGTGTTTCTTGTGTTTCTAATCAACAGTATACAGTGCATTCGGAAAGTATTCAGACCCCTTGATTCTTTCCACATTTTGTTACGTTACAGCCTTATTCTAAAATGGATTTTAAAAAATATATATCCTCTGCAATCTACACACAATACCCCATAATGACAAAGCGAAAACACGTTTTTATACGTTTTTGCAAATGTATTAAAAGTAAAAAACACATACCTTATTTACATACACTACCAGTCAAAGTTTGGACACACCTACTCATTCAAGGATTTTTTACATTGTATAATAATAGTGAAGACATCAAAACTATGAAATAACACATATGGAATCGATAGTAACCAAAAAAGTGTTAAACAAATCAAAATATATTTTATATTTGAGATTCTTCAAATAGCCAACCTTTGCCTTGATGACAGCTTTGCACACTCTTGGCATTCTCTCATATCAATAATAATATCGAACAAGTAATATCTAACAATTTCACAACATATACCAAATAAACACAAATCTAAGTAAGAAATGGAATTAAGAATATATACATATATGGACGAGCGGCATGGACTAAGATACAGTAGAATATTATAGAATACAGTATATACAGTTTAAGTTACATACACCTTAGCCAAATACATTTAAACTCTGTTTTTCACAATTCCTGACATTTAATCCTAGTAAAAATGCCCTGTCTTAGTTCAGTAGGATCACCATTTAATTTTAAGAATGTGAAATGTCAGAATAATAGTAGAGAGAATGATTTATTTCAGCTTTTATTTCTTTCATCACATTCCCAGTAGGTCAGAAGTTTACATACACTCAATTAGTATTTGGTAGCATTGCCTTTTAAATTGTTTAACTTGGGTCAAACGTTTCGGGTAGCCTTCCACAAGCTTCCCACAATAAGTTGGGTGAATTTTGGCCCATTCCTCTTGACAGAGCTGGTGTAACTGAGTCAGGTTTGTAGGCCTCCTTGCTCGCACACGCTTTTTTAGTTCTGCCCACAAATGTTCTATAGGATTGAGCTCAGTGCTATGTGATGACCACTCCAATACATTACATTGACATTTTTTTTTTACATTTACGTCATTTAGCAGACGCTCTTATCCAGAGCGACTTACAAATTGGTGCATTCATATCCTATCCCAGGTATTCCTTAAAGAGGTGGGGTTTCAAATGTCTCCGGAAGGTGGTGAGTGACTCCGCTGTCCTGGCGTCGTGAGGGAGCTTGTTCCACCATTGGGGTGCCAGAGCAGCGAACAGTTTTGACTGGGCTGAGCGGGAACTATGCTTCCGCAGAGGTAGGGGAGCCAGCATGCCAGAGGTGGATGAACGCAATGCCCTCGTTTGGGTGTAGGGTCTGATCAGAGCCTGAAGGTAAGGAGGTGCCGTTCCCCTCACAGCTCCGTAGGCAAGCACCATGGTCTTGTAGCAGATGCGAGCTTCAACTGGAAGCCAGTGGAGTGTGCGGAGGAGCGGGGTGACTTGAGAGAACTTGGGAAGGTTGAACACCAGACGGGCTGCGACATTCTGGATGAGTTGTAGGGGTTTAATGGCACAGGCAGAGAGCCCAGCCAACAGCGAGTTGCAGTAATCCAGACGGGAGATGACAAGTGCCTGGATTAGGACCTGTGCCGCTTCCTGTGTAAGGCAGGGTCGTACTCTCCGAATGTTGTAGAGCATGAACCTACAGGATCAGGTCACCGCCTTGATGTTAGCGGAGAACGACAGGGTGTTGTACAGGGTCACGCCAAGGCTCTTCGCACTCTGGGAGGAGGACACAACGGAGTTGTCAACCGTGATGGCGAGATCATGGAACGGGCAGTCCTTCCCCGGGAGGAAGAGCAGCTCCGTCTTGCCAAGGTTCAGCTTGAGGTGGTGATCCGTCATCCATACTGATATGTCTGCCAGACATGCAAAGATGCGATTCGCCACCTGGTTATCAGAAGGGGGGAAAGGAGAAGATTAGTTGTGTGTCGTCTGCGTAGCAATGATAGGAGAGGCCATGTGAGGATATGACAGATCCAAGTGACTTGGTGTATAGCGAGAATAGGAGAGGGCCTAGAACTGAGCCCTGGGGGACACCAGTGGTGAGAGCACGTGGTGTGGAGACAGCTTCTCGCCACGCCACTTGGTAGGAGCGACCGGTCAGGTAGGACGCAATCCAAGAGTGAGCCGCGCCGGAGATGCCCAGCTCGGAGAGGGTGGAGAGGAGGATCTGATGGTTCACAGTATCAAAGGCAGCAGACAGGTCTAGAAGGACAAGAGCAGAGGAGAGAGCGTTAGCTTTAGCAGTGCGGAGAGCCTCTGTGACACAGAGAAGAGCAGTCTCAGTTGAATGACCAGTCTTGAAACCTGACTGGTTTGGATCAAGAAGGTCATTCTGAGAGCGATAGCAAGAGAGTTGGCTAAAGACTGCACGCTCAATAGTTTTGGAGAGAAAAGAAAGAAGGGATACTGGTCTGTAGTTGTTGACATCAGAGGGATCGAGTGTTGGTTTTTTGAGAAGGGGTGCAACTCTCGCTCTCTTGAAGACGGAAGGGACATAGCCAGCGGTCAAGGATGAGTTGATCAGCGAGGTGAGGTAAGGGAGAAGGTCACCGGAGATGGTCTGGAGAAGAGAGGATGGGATAGGGTCAAGCGGGCAGGTTGTTGGGCGGCCGGCCGTCACAAGTCGCAAGATTTTATCTGGAGAGAGAGGGGAGAAAGAAGTCAAAGCATAGGGTAGGGCAGTGTGAGCAGGACCAGCAGTGTCATTTGACTTAACAAACGAGGATCGGATGTCGTCAACCTTCTTTTCAAAATGGTTGACGAAGTCATCCACAGAGAGGGAGGGGGGGGGGGGGAGGATTCAGCAGGGAGGAGAAGGTGGCAAAGAGCTTCCTAGGGTTAGAGGCAGATGCTTGGAATTTAGAGTGGTAGAAAGTGGCCTTAGCAGCAGAAACAGATGAAGAAAATGTAGAGAGGAGGGAGTGAAAAGATGCCAGGTCCGCAGGGAGTCTAGTTTTCCTCCATTTCCGCTCAGCTGCCCGGAGCCCTGTTCTGTGAGGTCGCAATGAGTCATCAAGCCACGGAGCTGGAGGGGAGGACCGAGCCGGCCGGGAGGATAGGGGACATAGAGAGTCAAAGGATGCAGAAAGGGAGGAGAGGAGGGTTGAGGAGACAGAATCAGGAGATTGGAGGGAGAAGGATTGAGCAGAGGGAAGAGATGATAGGATGGAAGAGGAGAGAGTAGCGGGAGAGAGAGAGCGAAGGTTGCGAAGGCGCATTACCATCTGAGTAGGGGCAGAGTGAGTAGTGTTGGAGGAGAGCGAGAGAGAAAAGGATACAGAGTAGTGGTCGGAGACATGGAGGGGAGTTGACTTTGTTGTCCTTAAGCCATTTTACCACAACTTTGGAAGTATGCTTGGGTTCATTGTGCATTTGGAAGACCCATTTGCGATCAAGCTTTAACTTCCTGACTGATGTCTTGAGATGTTGCTTCAATATATTCACATAATTTTCCTTCCTCATGATGCCATCTATTTTGTGAAGTGCACCAGTCCCTCCTGCAGCAAAGCACCCCCACAGCATGATGCTGCCACCCTCGTGCTTCACGGTTGGGATTGTGTTCTTCGGCTTGCAAGCCTACCCCCTTTTCCTCCAAACATAACAATGGTCATTATGGCCAAACAGTTCTATTTTTGTTTCATCAGACCAGAACACATTTCTCCAAAAAGTAAGATCTTTGTGCAGTTGTAAAACGTAGTCTGGCTTTTTTATAGCGGTTTTGGAGCAGTGGCTTCTTCCTTGCTGAGCGGCCTTTCAGGTTATGTCGATATAGGACTCGTTTTACTGTGGATATAGATACTTTTGTACCTGTTTCCTCCAGCATCTTCACAAGGTCCTTTGCTGTTGTTCTGGGATTGATTTGCACTTTTCGCACGTTCATCTCTAGGAGACAGAACGCCTCTCCTTCCTGAGCGGTATGATGGCTGCGTGGTCCCATGGTGTTTATACTTGCGTACTATTGTTTGTACAGATGAACGTGGTACCTTCAGGCGTTTGGAAATTGCTCCCAAGGATGAACCAGACTTGTGGAGGTCTACAAACAAAATTTCTGAAGTCTTGGCTGATTTCTTTTGATTTTCCCATGATGTCAAGCAAAGAGGCCTTGAAATACATCCACAGGTACACCTCCAATTGACTCAAATGATATCAATTAGCCTATCAAAAGCTTCTAAAGCCATGACATTATTTTCTGGAATTTTCCAAGCTGTTTAAAGGCACAGTCAACTTAGTGTATGTAAACTTCTGACCCACTGGAATTGTGATACAGTGAATTATAAGTGAAATAATCTGTCTGTAAACAATTGTTGGAAAAATTACTTGTGTCATGCACAAAGTAGATGTCCTAACCGACTTGCCAAAACTATAGTTTGTTAACAAGACATTTGTGGAGTGGTTGAAAAACGAGTTTTAATGACTCCAACCTAAGTGTATATAAATCTTCCGACTTCAACTGTACATATGAGATGAGTAATGCAAGATATGTAAACATTATTAAAGTGACATGTGTTCCATTTCTTAAAGTGGCCAATGATTTCAATAGGCAGCAGCAGCCTGTAATGTGCTAGTGATGGCTATTTAACAGTCTGATGGCCTTGAGATAGAAGCTGTTTTTCAGTCTCTCGGTCCCAGCTTTGATGCACCTGTACTGACCTCGCCTTTTGGATGATAGTGGGGTGAACAGGCAGTGGCTGATGTCCTTGATGATCTTTTTGGCCTTCCTGTGACATCGGGTGCTGTAGGTGTCCTGGAGGGCGGGTAGTTTGCCCCCGGTAATGCGTTCGGCAGACCGCACCACCCTCTGGAGAGCCCTGCGGTTGCGGGTGGTGCAGTTGCCGTACCAGGCGGTGATACAGCCCTACAGGATGCTCTCAATTGTGCATCTGTAAAAGTTTGTGAGGGTTTTAGGTGCCAAGCCAGATTTCTTCAGCCTCCTGAGGTTGAAGAGGCTCTGTTGCGCCTTCTTCACCACACTGTCTGCGTGGGTGGACCATTTCAGTTTGTCAGTGATGTGTACGCCAAGGAACTTGAAGCTTTCCACCTTCTCCACTGCGGTCCCATCGATGTTGATAGGGGAGTGCACCCTCTGCTGTTTCCTGAAGTCCACGATCATGTCCTTTGTTTTGTTGACGTTGAGTGAGAGGTTATTTTCCTGGCACCACACTCCCAGAGCCCTCACCTCCTCCCTTTAGGCTGTCTCGTCATTGTTGGTAATCAAGCCTACTACTGTTGTTTCATCTGCAAACTTGATGATTGATTTGGAGGTGTGCTTGGCCACGCAGTCATAGGTGAACAGGGAGTACAGGAGGGGGCAGAGCACGCACCCTTGAGGGGCCCCAGTGTTGAAGATCAGCGAAGTGATGTTGTTTCCTCCATTCACCACCTGGGGGCGGCCCGTCAGGAAGTCCAGGACCCAGTTGCAAAGGGCGTGGTTCAAACCCAGGGCCTCAAGCTTAATGATGAGCTTCGAGGGTAATATGGTGTTGAATGCTGAGCTATAGTCAATGAACAGCTTTCTTACATAGGTATTCCTCTTGTCCAGATGGGATAGGGCAGTGTGATGGCGATTGCATCGTCTGTGGATCTATTAGGGCGGTAAGCAAATTGAAGTTTCCGAAGGCACTGTTTGTAACCAGCTTTTATTTACCCTCGCTCGTTCTCTCGCTCGCTTTTTTGCTCTTTCTTTCTCTCTGGCTCTCGCTGTCTCTCTCAAATTGAGATTGTTTTATTGGCATGAAATACAATTTGTAGATATTGACAAAGCAGTATAGTGGTACAGCATTTCAGTAAATACTGTACAATGCAATGAGGATAATGAAATACAGTTCATTTCAGTAGTAACCAAACCGTGTAGATGAAGGGGAGGAGACAGGTTAAAGAATGCTTTGAGATAATTGAAACATGGATTGTGTACGTGTGCCATTCAGAGAGTGAATGGGCAAGACAAAATATTGATGTGCCTTTTGAACAGGGTATGGTAGTAGGTGCCAGGCGCACCGGTTTGAGGGTGTGAAGTGTGATGGGAATTTCTGTTAAACCTTTATCATGCTTGTTTACTAGAAGCTTTTTCTTTAAGCCTAGTTGCTTAGGCATTAATTCTGAGATTATTGATATAACTAGATCATATGAGATGGGATTATGTGTGCATGGGTATGGGCCTGTTTCTAACTGTTCTATGTGTGTAGCATAGGAACCTAGGTTTAGAGAAATATGTGCATGATGTCTGGGCGCACAGCCAAGAGCTGACAGGCGAGACCTATGGTTTCCTGCTAGTCAGAAGGAAAATAACCTGTTCCTCTTAATCTACTGAAACCAGAGCAAAGTGTTGAATCCGGCGCACTAGTGATAAAGCTGGTGTCCTGGCTAGGGCCTGTTGCTGGGCAAAAGGTTCAAGCGTCTGTGTGTGTTTGGGTGTCAAATCCCACACATCTAGGCAGACAGCGAAAGATGCTTGCTTGCCTGGTTCGAGGGATCATTAATCTACTTTTGAGGAACTATGTCTGGGGAGATTTCCTGTTGTTTTAACACCTATTGTTCTCAGAATGAGACTACCTTTTTCACAGTTAGTCTGTACCCTGTACCCCAGTTCCGTCTCATTGTCCAGAAAATACACGCACCAAGATCACGAGTTTTGTACATGCTTGCATAAGATGGCTTGCCTATATAAGGTTTCTGTACTCCTCGTGTCATTCGGGTGGTCGTTGACCAGCTCCATTATTGCAATAATTAATAGATAAATAAAGTGTGATTGTTTGAAGAAATAACAAAGTCTCTCCTCATTGGTTAGAATTTCCACGTCAGAAGAACTGCAACGCTGCTGGGTTTCTCATGCTTAGCAGTTTCCCATATGTATCAAGAATGGTCCACCACCCAAAGGACATCCTGCCAACTTGACACAACTGTGGGAAGCATTGGAGTCAACATGGGCCAGCATCCCTGTGGAACACTTTCAACACCTTGTAGAGTCCATGCCCTGACAAATTGAGGCGGTTCTGAGGGCGAAAGGGGGTGCAACTTAATATTAGGAAGGTGTTCCTAATGTTTTGTACACACAGTGTATATAATACATACAATGTTTATTCTCGCTCTCGCTCTCTGCAGTAACTTCAGGAGCATTCTGTTGTGATGTGGTGCTGGATCCTCAGTTAGACGCCTGGAGCCCTTCAGAGGTCAGTGTATGTGTGTTATTTTCTGGTTTGTGTAAATATGTATGTTAATCTCTGGTGTGTGTAAACACTTGTTATTCTCTGTTGTGTTCGTGTGCTTACAGTGGAGTCCGAAATGATTGACACCCTTGATAAAGATTAGCAATAATGACTGTATAAAATCAAAAATTCAAATACTGAGCTATATTGTATGGAAATATTGTTTTTATTATATTATTTTAAACTAATACAATTCCTCAGAGAAATAGATTTTGTTTAACAAGTAATAGTTTTGTTTCTTAAAAAGGTAGGGGTCAAAGTTATTGACACCCCTAAAGAGTTTACATAAAGTAGTCAAAGGTTTGGTTGTGTTTCAGATTATTTTGTGCCCAATAGAAAATAATGGTAAAAAATGTATTTTGTAATTTTGGAGTCACATTTATTATAAGTAAGAATAGAATATGTTTCTAAACACTTCTACATTAATGTGGAATGCTACCATGATTACGGATAATCCTGAATGAATCATGAATAATGATGAGTGAGAAAGTTAGAGGGTCAAAAGATCATACCCCCAAGACATGCTAACCTCTCACCATTACCAGTAACAGAGGAGGTTAGAATGTCTTGGGGGGGGTATGATCTTTGATCCTCTAACTTTCTCAATCATCATTATTCAGGATTCTCCGTAATCATGGCAGCCACCACATTATTGTAGAAGTCTTTAAAAACATATTATTAAAAAAGTGACTCCAAAATGACCAAATACATTATTTACAATTAATTTCTATTGGGCACAAAATAATCTGAAACACAACCAAAACGAACTGCAAATGCATCCATAAAGTTTGTAGAGTCACAAGTTTAATGTAGTCATTGCGTGCTAGGAATATGGGACCAATTACTTGACTTTGACTACTTTATTTATAAGAATCTTTACGGGTGTCAATGAGTTTTTTTTAGATCATTTTTAAAAAACTTGTTAAACAATCTCTTTCTCTGAGCAATTGTATTAGTTTATACAACGGGTGGGTCTAATCCTGAATGCTGATTGGTTAAAACCGCATTCCAGCCGGTGTCTATTCCACAAGTTACCACCATGTTAAAATGCCTATTTACTCTGTTCCATCTCACTGCGCAATCCACTGTCTCATCAACCCAGCCAGGCACTTTATAAACTTGATCTCCACTATAAAAAGCATCTAGACATTCTCACATTTCTTTTAGACTAAAATGTAGTTTTCAACAGCGGAGATTTGTATAAACCTTGCTGTCTGTCTCTCCGACATTTACAACTTTGTTTCGATATTCAAATTCGATCTCCTGCTGTCCCATAGTAATGAACGTGTCGGGACGAGACAGAAAGGCAGGCAGCGTTTCTCAGCCAGTCGAAATCATGAATCAGCTGGCATTTTTATGGATACAAAGAAATGTCTGTTGAAAAAAGTAAAATGAAACGAAGTGCAGCTAGTTTGCAGTCTTTCCAGCTTCAGTTTGAAGTGATTGTGTTAGCTGTGTTGTTGGCTTGCTCCTCTGAACAACAGTGTCCTGACGAGAGAGCACATTTTCTAAGCCAGGCGAAATTGCACCTCATTAGCTCATTGTTATGGATGTCTCCAAATAAATGTCACTAAAAAACAGCTTAAACAAATGCAAATGCCGCTACTGTTGTTATTCTGGCTGCACTGTTTGACGTGACTGTAAGTTAGCCGTAGTTGACTAGCAAGCAAGGGATAAGAACAGCCAGTATGGCAATGTAACATTTAGAACTAATGACTGGGTCGCGTCCATAGATACAGAACAAAAAAAGACTGAGCGACTGGGTCGCGTCTCTGGCAACCGAACCGATAGAACGAACAACCAGCCGGCTTGGGTAGCAATCCTAGATTTGTGTCGGGACTATATCTTGTGGAAGGATGAAATAGTATGAATAAATTCATCAAAATTACGTTTTTATTGAAAATATGTCAATCATTATTTGAATATGTTGATAATGCCCTCGAAGCCGGTGTTTGGAGGATATATTGCCACAGTTTGCCGGCCTAACAACACCTGTGAGGATATATTGGCACAGTTTGCCAGCCTAACAACACCTGTGAGGATATATTGGCACAGTTTGCCAGCCTAACAACACCTGTGAGGATATATTGGCACAGTTTGCCAGCCTAACAACACCTGTGAGGATATATTGGCACAGTTTGCCGGCCTAACAACACCTGTGCCAATATATCCTCCAAACACCGGCTTCTTGGGCATTATCACTTATATAAAATATATATATTTTAAATATTGCATACATTATACAGTCATTGTTGCTCATCTTTATCAAGGGTGTCAATCATTTCGGACCCCACAGTGCATGTGTGTTGAGCAAAGTGAAATGACCTGAGAGTGTGTGTGTCCCAGGAGTCCCTGCGCTCTCTGACACGTGGTGCTCAGCAGCTGATCCATCAGGACCTGCCCTGGGAGCCTCTGGAGGTAGCGCCCCCAGTGGCCCTGGAGGTCTTCTCTCACAGCAGGTACTTTATTTCTAGACCCTCTGTTGTTCAATTGTATCATTTTTGGGGGATAGAATATACAAGACAAAACCTAAATAATGCAAAGGTATTGAATTTGGCTATCAGTACCCCCTTTCGGAGGACTGAGAATGTGTAGCAGCTTGTTACGTGCTGTTATAACAGGTTATAACCTCCTAAATGAAAATAAGGCAGATGCAACAACCAGCTCTATGAGACCCATATCAAATCAAATCAAATCAAATCAAATTTTATTGGTCACATGCGCCGAATACAACAGGTGCAGACATTACAGTGAAATGCTTACTTACATAAGAGCTGACGTTGTGTTTGTGAACAGAACTAGCATTCTCAATTACATAGGTATTTAATGGAAAAGAAACACAATACAAACGTTGGATTTCACCTTAGGTCATAGATGTGTATGGCTTGTTGGTAGCTATTTTCTGGACTGAAGGTCTATTGGCAAAGCCAGATTCGAAACCTCTCTTCTCTTGCAATATTTTCCCTTCTATCCCTTTTCCTCCATGTTTTCATAGCTATTTTTCACTTATTTTACTCTGTTTCATATTCTCTCTTCCAGTGTTCTAGCTGTGCCTGTGTCTTTGTCTGTGTTTGCAGGTGTAAGCAGGAGGAAGTGGAGGAGAAGTCAGCACAAAGTCCTAAAGGCACAGTGATGCTCTACAGGTGAGCTACAGGAACTGTACCGCGGTAGATGTCTCTCTCTCTCTCTCTCTCTCTCTCTCTCTCTCACACACACACACTATTCACATCCTTATTGAGACACACTCATCTTCACTGTGTTCTCATACACACTCATACACATATATGACACACATACTCTTGTCTCACCTCCTATCTGTCTGTCTCTTAGGTGTGGGGACCATGTTCTGTTGAGTGGGGGCCCCTTGGTGGCCAGGACAGGGCTGTGCTCTCAGTACGAGGTCACCGCCATCCACCCTCTAGGAGAGGACGAGTGGGGTCTCCACCGCCGGGCCCAGGGGCTCTCACTGCCCCTCCAGCTACAGGTACATAATCACGCGCACACACACACACACACACACACACACACACACACACACACACACATCTGCAGGAGATGTTTCTGTCTATGTATGAAGCATCTTAGAATGTATCCGATTTGTGAGTGAGTGTCAGTGAGGTGATTAGTTTCACTGAGTGAGTCATTCATCGATTTCTTCTGTTCTCTTTCCTTAGGCCCACCACACTGTGTGGAGGAAACTGAGGAGCAGGGCAGAGAAGCTGGTAAAGAAAATAACCTCATTACTTTTTTGAAGTTGTAGCTTGTATGCGACATACCTAGGGTGTTGTCATTTCATCTGAACTGTTTTTAAGGTTGTTGTCTGGTTATTTACCAATGTCCAGAATCACCTGGCTGGCATTTTTACAGCATGTAGCAGTGCTACTGGAAATCGATGGAGACAGCTAGCGGTGCATTCAAAAGCATTACAAATGTTGTGAGGATCAGGTTACGCTTCCACATTATTTTGAATGGTTTGGATGAAACAACAGCACCGTAAGTAAGTCAAAAATGAGTTAAAACGCATCATCACACTTTTAGATTTTTACTGAAAGGGTTCTATCTCGAAAATCTGTTCTGCTGACGTGCACCATTTTTGGTCCATATCAACAGTTGACTAATGAACAAAATACATGTGTTTGAGTAAAGTGATCCTTTAAAAAGTGAAATATCCCTTTAAGAATCTCTATCAGTATCTATTCATACTTAATTATTGAACTGCAGATTTAATCCTAATGCCTCTCCCTCTCTGCAGGTTGAGGTGCCCACAGGATCAGTCAATGAAACTGTTTCAGATACATTGACTCCGCCCTCTGCCCCTAAACAGACTCCTCCCCCTACCCCCCAACAATGATCATGTCTATAACCTTGTCATTAAATATGTCTTTGTAATATTTGTGGAATAAATGTATAACGTATGAAAATCGTCCCCTCTCCTCTGTATACTAAATGCTTGCTGAAAATGAAGTGGGTTATTGGTTTATGACAGTGTAGCTGATTTGGTGTAGAGTGAAGTTGCTGATCTTGGGTCAGTTTTGCATTTTCCCCACTAATGGTTAAGGTTAGGATTGGGGGAAGGGAATCTGATCCTACATCTGTACGTAGTAGCTGATGTGGAATCAAAGGATTGTTGTGCAGAACGTAACTGGTTTGCGCCCAGTGAGGGACAGGGATAGAACCTACTGTTACAACAGCACAGCTCAGTTTACTGTTCCTTAATCGTATGTGCTTGCAGGGGATTTGAAACCAAAGTCAAATGAATTGATGACCTGTGGCGTGTGATATAACCATCTGTCTTTTGTGTGGAATGAAAGCCGTGGTCCGTGCCATGCTCGAGCATGTTAAAGCCATACACTAACACACCCCTCTGCGGCCTTTAACTGCTCAGCTGACAGTATGTGGGCAAAAAGTGTGTGTTGAGTGGTCAGCAGTTTGCTAACACACAAAGACTGGTGTGTGCTGCTCGACCATCGGGGGCAGAGCAGCTGTTGGGTCTGTCGCTTTGGGACAGGTGTTTGAGGAGTGTGTGTGTGTGTGTGTGTGTGAAAGTGGGCATGAGCTGTCACAGATTACCAGATCAGATTAGGTGACATGGTGTACGTCCCAAATGACTCCCTATTTAGTGCACTACTTTTGGGCAGGGTGCATAGGGCTCTGGTCAAAAGTAGTGCACTATATAGGGAATAGGGTTTCATTTGGGATGAAGAAAAGTGTGATCATAAACAGTAACTGTAGGCCTACAGTACATGTCAACAGTTACAGTATATTCCTCAAACTGAAACAGTGATATAGTATAAAAAGAAATATAACAATGTATGCATAAATGTGATGCTGCATAATTCATCTTGATCTATGACGCTCCATGTCTAGAGTCTCAACAATGGAGATGGGACATTTAATATCCACGGTGCCGTGAGGCAGATCGAGAGGTTGCCCATTGCGCAGCTGTCGCCCCTGCTCAAACAGCCAGCCCCACCCCGACACCCAGCGACAGTATGGGAGACACACCCAAGGACAAATGACCACCCCAGTCCCCCCCACCTCTCACCAATTGAGATGTTTGAACTGGTGCCTGGAATTCCAGATCACTGTATTCCATGGAAATTATCCAGAGAAATGGGTCAAAATGTAGAATATTTGTAATGTTATTGTCCACAAAAAATAGATTTGTCCTGGGTTAGGTAATCCGCTATCAATTCAATATTTTCATCAACTAATGATGGGATAGGCCTATATGCTTTTGGAAAATATAGCTTAGACTGTTTTCTAAATATGTTTTTGTCTAGGCCTATAGGCTATAAAAAGAAGCATTCACAATGGATTATTTCCACAACCAAACAATAAAGCAAAAAACTTTAATCCATAAGGCAGTAGCGCTGCGTGGGTAAAATCACTGGGGAAGCTCTATAACCTGTTAATTCAAATGCCTTGCGACTGTGATATATAGGCCTAAAGGCCGAGACAATAAGACAGTGGCAGAATAAATTAAACCACACCTTTGTTTTATCACAAAACCAGATAGCAACCTCTGTCCAGTGAAGTCCACAAAGCATATTGCATGTAGTAACAGACAGTTACATGACCTACAGCATGGTCTAGCAAGTTAATGTTTCCGACATTTTCGGACCACTAAACAACTATTGATTTAGAACCACAGAGTTACCGCAAGTCGCAAAGAAAACAGGAGCTGCCTCCACTATTCCAGCACCATTTCAACTTCAACATTTCAACATCATCAAATCACCTCTGCTTAGTCTAATACAGTGACAACTAAAAGATACCAAAAACAATTTAGTCCAATCAATGTAAGCCAAATATGTGGCTGTCCATGGTTCTGATTTCTGTGTGTGTGTGAGTGTTTGTGCAAGTAGAAAAACATGTTGACTCACCCTACTTGTAGAGAAATGCCAATGCCATCCTCCTCTCTTTCATGACGAAACAGTCTATCACTCTATGATACAGTACACGCTTAAATGTTTTGTTGTCCAAGTCTATCTGGCTAAAATGCTTGCTCGCTAGACTAACTTCCATTCGTGGGCAACGTTAGCTAGTTAACATTAGCCTTCTACATCTAGCTACAAATTGAACTTCCATCCTCTCAGGCCAGGGGCACAACAATGTATGAATGAATGGGTGGATCAGAATTGCCATTATAATCAAATCAAATTGTATTGGTCACATACACATATTTAGCAGATGTTATTGCGGGTGTAGTGAAATGCTTGTGTTCCTAGCTCCAACAGTGCAGTAGTATCTAACAATTTACAACAATACACACAAATCTAAAAGTAAAAGAATGGAATTAAGAAATATATAAATATTAGGATGAGCATTAGCCAGTACGGAGAATTAAGTAAAACCACAAGTCCAAATCCCTATCTCCATCCATGGCTAATTTAGGACAGGGCCAATTTTAGCTAGCTAGCTAGCCACCGGAGGACAACAACATGCAACAATTCAAGTTTTTCTGTCAACAAAGTATGCTCTCAATGGGATTTGATTGGAGTGATGCCAAAACCCAAGCTGGGTTCTCTTGACACTTTTTTTTGGTGCGCCACACAGTTGAGCTAGCTCAATTTAGCTCAACGCTGATTGGCTAATTTGTTATACTTTTTTAATTAAGGGAGGCAAGATGCTTGCTGGCTTCCCTTGCCTTTAATGCTACGGGCGGCAACAATGTCATACTCGTTTGAACCAGACAGCATCAGATAGATGGCCTACACGTAGAGAGACAGAGGGGCGCTGTTTCGCTCGCTCGGATGCTTTCTCCTGTGAGATACATTCAGCCTCTTGCGAATTGAAAGAACATTATGAAACACAGAGAGACGAAAGATAATAATTTGTTTTTACATTTATTTTATTGGTAAAAAATGTGGGGAAGCCTTGCTTCCCTTGGCATCCATGAATACACGCCACTGCGCTAAGGGACTGCGGAAAGAATGATAACCACCCTACGATTGTGAATTACTTTGAAGGACTTTATAATGAAATAATTTGCATCATTCATTAGGGGCCAATTTCAACTAATTATAAGGGTACCATTGTGCGCCGTTTCCTGCCTCTATCCGAAAGCGTTGTCTGAGTTCGACAATTGTCCGACAATCACACATGTCAACAGGTGTTGCTTCCTATACCCTTCGTGGTGGTCCTCTTTTATAGTAATTCATCCAAATGTATCAAAGTAAATATCATGGCGTTATGCCTGTGGGCACAGGGTAGATAGGCTTGAAGTGCTGAGACTATGATGACACACACAGAAAAAAACAGTCGTCAGTGCAGTTGGCCATTGTTGGCACGGTGGACAAGTGTAGTGCGCGTCTTGGACACAGCGTTGCGCTCTCCGCATTCCTTCTCCAGGAGCCCCCCACCAACTCTCTTCCTCACCCCACCAAACCTCCCTCCCTCCCTACCACAACAGTAGGACAGCAGGGAGACCGTCTACAGAGACTAATGAGAGGACAGCCACTCTACAGTCGTATGCCATGCGGCTAGTGTAATAGTTTACAGAAAGTCCGAAAGTGTGACGTCCTAACCGCCAGCGCGCTGCCTAACTGCTCAGGAAATACTACGGAGTTTTGGAACCAATTTCGCCAAAGGAGCGACGAGATTCTGGAATTACTGGAGTTGTGGACAAGTCCGGGAACTACGTTGAGGCTCAGGAGCAGCTCATCTTTCGAGGAAGGACATACTTTTGAACAGCAGGAGTTCAGGATGGAGAGAGCGTCACTGCTTTTGCCCCTTGTCATTCTACTGATGCAATGTAAGTAAACTTTTGCATTTAGGCTACTCCATATGATAACGAGTAATTCGTGTGTAATGCATGTTGGGGTTGATCTGTATTATTGGTATTCTTGAAAATTAAATGACCATTATCCCTATTGCAATTGCTTTTGTCTCTGTAATGCCATGTTAGCTGTTTATGTGTTTAGAAAAAATAAGCAATTTTAGATAGGAAAATATTGATAAAGCACCTAATAAAAAAATTAATGATGATTGTGATCTTACTGTGAACTGTAAGATCACTATATCATATTGATGCTTCTACTCTCACGCACACAAATAAAGGGGCCAGCACTTGATTCGGTTGCAATTGAATTAACTTTTTACTTAATCCTCTTCTTTCCTGGAGAAACATATGGCCTGTACTAAAGTTTTCCAACGTTGCCGGTCTTTCGTATACAGTAAATGCAACAACTCCATACGTTTCGGCTAACGCCTTCCTCACTGCGTGTGATGATATTGGAATACATTCAACTGCAGAAAACAGATATGGACCACTAATGTGGCGTTAAGTTATTGTTGGAAGCAGGCCAGTCTAATCGGGATGTGGGCGACCCAAGGTTGGGCACCGGGTGGGTACCACCAACTTTGATAACAGCAGGGCCGTCAAAAGTGCATCCCAAATGGCACCCTATTCCCTTTATAATGCACTACTTTTTATCAGGGCACATAGGGCTCTGGTCAAAAGTAGTGCACTACAAAGGGTGCCATTTGGGACGTTTCCATGGTGTCAGTGAGATGCCAACCAGCCATGGGAGGGGCTGCATTCAAGTCTGCCCAACTGTTGATGTCTGCTGATTTATCATTTGGAACTGTTTGGAATAGTTTGCATCAGACTTGATTGGACTGTGTTCTGTCCTGTAGCTTAGGTGAGGCTTGTTTTGAACGTTGTGGTGCCATTTCGGATGCTGACATTTTGCAAGTGAGCCACTGAGGTGCGTGTGTTAGAGGAGAGGAGACCCCACCTCCAACCCTGACTGGCACAGCTGTTCCTGTCAGAGCAGTACAGGGTTACACAGACACAGAGGGGCTTTGTTCTCCTAGGAGAACACACACACACACACACACACACACATTCTCTCTGTCTCTCTAGATCCCTCTCTGTCTGGAAATTGATGTGCTCTTAGATGCTAATAGATATAGATGCATACCATATAAAATGCTCCTAGCACAGATTTAGCGCTCAGTTGTAGCTTATAATAATAGGTATATAATAGGTAACTATCTGCTGTATGAACTTGTGTGTATGTGTCTGTGCTTGTTCGGTTGGTCATGTGTCAACTTGTGTAGTTTTTGTAGTTTGTGTGTGTGTGTGGGGGGGTGGCTTGCAGGAGAACCATGTTCGAACCCAGTTGGGTGTTTGTGTGTGTGTCCGGTTTGGGGTCAATTCCAATTGAAGTCACTCAATTCAGGAAGTATTTGCATTTAGAATTTTTGATAGAATTAGCATCTCATTTTCCATTTATTGCAAAGTCATAAAAAAAAGTCCCTTTTCAATTCTTTTCAAATGTCCCTTTGTCAAATTTTAGTTTTCTTCCTGAATTTACTGACTTTGAATTGACCCCAACCCTGGTAGGTCCCAGGTGCAATAGCTCATAGGGTTCAGAGAGGGACAGGTCACCATGCAGCAGACAGACAGAGAAAGTGTGGGCATCATGTCAGGGTTGTTATCACGTCTGTGTTATCTCAAGGAGACGCTCCTCAAGGTGGCTGCCGTTTGCCACAGCCGACACTGTGACAACAGCTTGTTCAACCCAGGGATGCTACTGATGGATCCTGCTGCTCTGATAATATAGAATAAAACTATTGTTATCTCTCTCGCTCTCTCGTTCTCTCTCCATCTATTTCTTCCTATCTCCCTCCACATCTCATCCTCTCTGTCTGTCTGTCTGTCTCTCTCTCTCCCTCTCTCTGTCCATCCAGCCAGGGAGAGACAATGCTCCTCAGAGAGCGAGAAAGAGGGAGTGATGAGGCACACACACTCCCCACACAGCTGCAGCGATAACAGTGTTACACATACTCACAAAGTAACACAGACAGCAAGCAGGGAGGGACAAAATACACGAGGCTGCACTTTTACCGCCTACTGTACTCAAACATCCGAAGGACAACGTGAATAGGCAACATGAGCCTGCAGTTTGAATTCGCACTCTGCCACTGATAATGTGTAGGCCTAAGTAGATCTAATTGCCTAAATACTCATAACTAGGATTCACACATAGTTTTTCCGTTTATTTTCTGTGAATCGACTGGATTGAAATGGAATTGACCGCAGCCCTTAGTATGCTTCATTGTTTGCTTCATTGTTTTTCAGCGAGCAAGTTGTTTACATTTTGTTTCCCAACTTTTGCTCTGCTTTCATGGCCATTTAAGAGGCCATCCCTGAGAGGACCTGTAAATCCATTATCACTTCCTGTGCCTCTCCAATGCCTTTGTCTCACTTTGGCCTCCATTCTTTCCCTCCATTCTTCCACGTAGATCCGGTTTGCGTCTCAAAATGGCACCCTATTCCCTATATAGTGTACGACTTTTGACCAGGGCCCATAGGGACGCAGACCTGCCCTTCAGTGGGGGAAAGTAGGAGAACAGGAGGATTGGTTAGGACCTTTCCTCTGCTCCCTCCCCACCCCTTGGTCCACTAATAGAACCACAGGAAGTAGTGCAACAAACAGAAGCTAAACTAAACAGGAAGCTAGCTAACTGCTAACAGAGAATGGCTCATTTGGTTGATGACCTCAGTTAAGTACAGTGTAGACCAGTGATTCCCAATCAGGGGTACTTGGGGGTACTTGGCCTATCCAAGGGGGTACTTGATCAGACTCATGATACCATAGGCTTACTGGTAAAATGCACATGAGGGGGTACTTCAGGGGTACTCCGGGAAGAGCAAAATTCAGTTTGTGGTACAGTGACCAAAAAAGGTTGGGAACCACTGGTGGTTTAGGTCTTTTGATGTGACATTTACCAGTACTGGGCCATTTACATTTTTAGTCATTTAGCAGACGCTCTTATCCAGAGCGACTTACAGTTAGTGAGTGCATACATTTTTCATACTGGCCCCCTGTGGGAATCGAACCCACAACCCTGGCGTTGCAAGCACCATGCTCTACCAATTGAGCTACAGGAGGCCATGATAGATAGACTTGTGCTTTGCTGGCCAGCAATTGTCAGTATTTAGTTAATTGAGCAGAATATAGCATTAGTAGGCTATGCAGATGGGAGGGGTTGAATGTAGCTGAAGGGTGGGACTAATAACAAGATAACAAATGTAAAATATACTGTGTCTGTCAAATGTATATAGGTTCAGAACTTTTGTAAAACAGCAGTTAAAAATATATGGCAAATTGAAATCAAACTGGATGGACATCAGAAATAGATGGAGAGGTTGAGGGTAGAGGAAGGACAGAACTAAAAACAAACAAAATATAACTATTGTAAAATAGATTGTGTCTGTAAAATGTATATAAACTCAGCAAAAAAATAAACGTCCCTGAACAAAGGGGGTGTCAAAATCAAAAGTAACAGTCAGTATCTGGTGTGGCCACCAACTGCAGTGCATCTCCTCCTCATGGACAGCACCAGATTTGCCAGTTCTTGCTGTGAGATGTTACCCCACTCTTCCACCAAGGCACCTGCAAGTTCCCGGACATTTCTGGGGGGAATGACCCTAGCCCTCACCCTCCGATCCAACAGGTCCCAGACGTGCTCAATGGGATTGAGATCCGGGCTCTTCGCTGGCCATGGCAGAACACTGACATTCCTGTCTTGCAGGAAATCATGCACAGAACGAGCAGTATGGCTGGTGGCATTGACATGCTGGAGGGTCATGTCAGGATGAGCCTGCAGGAAGGGTACCACATGAGGGAGGAGGATGTCTTCCCTGTAACGCACAGCATTGAGATTGCCTGCAATGACAACAAGCTCAGTCCGATGATGCTGTGACATCGCCCCAGACCATGACGGACCCTCCACCTCCAACTCGATCCCGCTCCAGAGTACAGGCCTCGGTGTAACGCTCATTCCTTCATTAATTGTTTATGGTTCACTGAACAAGCATGGGAAACAGTGTTTAAACCCTTTACAATGAAGATCTGTGAAGTTATTTGGATTTTTACAAATTATCTTTGAAAGACAGGGTCCTGAAAAAGGGACGTTTCTTTTTTTTATTATGTATAAGCTGGAAGTAGAAGCTTAAGTGATGTTGTTCATTAGTTTACTCCAATTAGGGGAGGGGTGGTAGGGTTAGCGGAAAATAATAAAGGAAAATATATTTTAAAAAGATTATATATATATATATATATATATATATTACATACACACACACTACCAGTCAAAAGTTTCGACACCTACCTACTCATTCAAGGGTTTTTGTGAGGACAGATGCTGGGAGACAGGAAGTGAACATTTAATGGAAAAAACAGACAGGAACAAAACACGTCTGGACAGGGGAAACGAAACATCAACGCTGACACTGGGATCAAACAGAGGAACAGACAGAAATAGGGGAGGTAATTAACAAAGGGAAGGAGTCCAATGAGCGCTGATGCGTGTAACGATGGTGACAGGTGTGCGTAATGAATGGCAGCCTAGCGCCTTCGAGCGCCAGGGAGGGGGAGCGGGAGCAGGCGTGACAGTACCCCCCCCCCCCCCCTCGTAGGGATGCCACCCGGTGTCCCACCTGGGCGAGCCAGACGGGCTGGCCGAGGCATGGGAACCGGCCAAGGCGCGGGAACCTGTCAAGCCTGAAGGGCCGGCCGAGGCGTGGAAGCCTGAAGGGCCGGCCGAGGCGTGGAAGCCTGAAGGGCCGGCCGAGGCGTGGAAGCCTGAAGAGCCGGCCGAGGCGTGGAAGCCTGACGAGCCGGCCGAGGCGTGGAAGCCTGACGAGCCGGCTGAGGCGTGGAAGCCTGACGAGCCGGCTGAGGCGTAACAATGGTGACAGGTGTGCGTAATGATGGGCAGACTGGCACCTTCGGGCGCCAGGGAGGGGGAGCGGGAACAGGCGTGACATATCTTTCTTTATTTTGACTATTTTTTACATTGTAGAATAATAGTGAAGACATCAACACTATGAAATAACACATATGTAATCATGTAGTAACCAAAAAAGTGTTAAACAAATCAAAATATATTTTCTATTTCAGATTCTTCAAATAGCCACCATTTGCCTTGATGACAGCTTTGCCTCAAGTCCATATTATGGGCAAGAACAGCTGAAATAAGCAAAGAGAAATGACAGTCCATCATTACTTTAAGACATGAAGGTCAGTCAATATGGAACGTTTCAAGAACTTTGAAAGTTTCTTCAAGTGCAGTCACAAAAAACATCAAGCGCTATGATGAAACTGGCTCTCATGAGGACCGCCTCAGGAATGGAAGACCCAGAGTTACCTCTGCTGCTGATGATAAGTTCATTAGAGTTACCAGCCTCAGAAATTGCAGCCCAAATAAATGCTTCACAGAGTTCAAGTGACAGACACATCTCAACATCAACTGTTCAGAGGGGACTGTGTGAATCAGGCCTTCATGGTCAAATTGCTGCAAAGAAACCACTACTAAAGGACACCAATAAGAAGAAGAGACCTGCTTGGGCCAAGAAACACGAGCAATGGATATTAGACCGGTGGAAATGTATCCTTTGGTCTGGAGTCCAAATTTGAGATTTTTGGTTCCAACCGCTGTGTCTTTGTGAGACGCGGTGTGGTGAATGGATGATCTCCGCATGTGTAGTTCCCACCATAAAGCATGGAGGAGGAGGTGTTATGGTGTGGGGGTGCTTTGCTGGTGACACTGTCTGTGATTTATTTAGAATCCAAGGCACACTTAACCAGCATTCTGCTGCGATATGCCATCCCATCTGGTTTGGGCTTAGTGGGACTATCATTTGTTTTTCAACAGGACAATGAACCAACACACCTCCAGGCTGTGTAATGGCTATTTTACCAATAAGTGATTGAGTGCTGCATCAGATGACCTGGCCTCCACAATCCCCCGACCTCAACCCAATTGAGATGGTTTGGGATGAGTCGGACGGCAGAGTGAAGGAAAATCAGCCAACAAGTGCTCAGCATATGTGGGAACTCCTTCAAGACTGTTGGAAAAGCATTCCAGGTGAAGCTGGTTGAGAGAATGCCAAGAGTGTGCAAAGCTGTCATCAAGGCAAAGGGTGGCTAATTGAAGAATCGCAAATATAAAATAAATTTTTATTTGTTTAACACTTTTTGGGTTACTACATGATTCCATATGTGTTATTTCATAGTTTTGATGTCTTCACTATTATTATACAATGTAGAAAATAGTAAAAATAAATAAAACCCTTGAATGAGTATGTGTCCAAACTTCTGACTGGTACTGTACATATGTATGTATGTATGTATGTATGTATGTATGTATGTATGTATGTATGTATGTATGTATGTATGTATGTATGTGTGTATGTATGGATATATATATACATATATATATACAGTATGTGGGTATGTATGTGTATATACACTACTGTTCAAAAGTTTGGGGTCACTTAGAAATGTCCTTGTTTTTGAAATAAAATTTTAAAAAATTGTCCATTAAAATAACATCAAATACAGTGTAGACATTGTTAATGTTGTAAATGGCTATTGTAGCAGGAAACGGCAGACTTTTAATAGAATATATACATAGGCGTACAGAGGCCCATTATCAGCAACCATCAGTCCTGTGTTCCAATGGCACGTTGTGTTTGCTAATCCAAGTTTATCATTTTAAAAGGCTAATTGATCATTAGAAAACCCTTTTGCAATTATGTTAGCATAGCTGAAAACTGTTGTGCTGATTAAAGAAACAATAAAACTGGCCTACTTGAGATTGGTTGAGTATCTGGAGCATCAGCAATTGTGGGTTCGATTACAGGCTCAAAATGGCCAGAAACAAAATACTTTCTTCTGAAACTCGTCAGTCTATTCTTGTTCTGAGAAATGAAGGCTATTCCATGCGAGAAATTGCCAAGAAACTGAAGATCTCGTACAACGCTGTGTACTATTCCCTTCACAGAACAGCGCAAACTGGCTCTAACCAGAATAGAAAGAGGAGTGGGAGGTCCTGGTGCACAACTGAGCAAGAGGACAAATACATTAGAGTGTCTAGTTTGAGAAACAGGCGCCTCACAGGTCCTCAACTGGCAGCTTCATTAAATAGTACCCGCAAAACACCAGTCTCAACGTCAACAATGAAGAGGCGACTCCGGGATGCTGACCTTCTAGGCAGAGTTGCAAAGAAAAAGCCATATCTCAGACTGCCCATCTTAATCTTTTCTTTTTATTGGCCAGTCTGAGATATGGATTTTTCTTTGCAACTCTGCCTAGGTCATCCCTTCCGTTTCTTGGCAATTTCTCGAATGGAATAGTTTGTTTCTGGCCATTTTGAGCCTGTAATCGAACCCACAATTGCTGATGCTCCAGATACTCAACTAGTCTCAAGAAGGCCAGTTTTATTGCTTCTTTAATCAGCACAACAGTTTTCAGCTGTGCTAACATAATTGCAAAAGGGTTTTCTAATGATCAATTAGCCTTTTAAAATGATAAACTTGGATTAGCAAACACAACGTGCCATTGGAACACAGGGCTGATGTTTGCTGATAATGGGCCTCTGTACGCCTATGTAGATATTCCATAAACAATCAGCCGTTTCCAGCTACAATAGCCATTTACAACATGAACAATGTCTACACTGTATTTCTGATCAATTTGATGTTATTTTAATGGACAAAGAATTTGCTTTTCTTTTGAAAACAAGGACATTTCTAAGTGACCCCAAACTTTTGAACGGTAGTGTATATTTACAACAAATATTTACGGGGGATTGGAAATGATGCAGACAATTACATTGATGGAAGCTACAATCTAGCTGCAATATTAAATCTGATCTACCCCCCCCCAAAAAAAATAATCTTTATTCGTATAAATAAAACGGATTTATTGAATTCTCCATGTGGTACAGGAAAAAACAACAATTTAATCAATTTTAGAATAAGGCTGTAATATAACAAAATGTGGAAAAAGTCAAGGGGTCTGAATACTTTCCGAATGCTCTTCATTTAATATAACAGGCTTTTAAAATTCAATATTGATGCACAATTTCTACTTAAAATACCAAAAGGGATGCAAAAGGCAGTCTTTTCATGGAACGACCCGCATATTAAGTGTGCGTGTGTGTAGTACATAACATTACTGTACCAAACACGCTCCTCCCTCGATGGACGGGTGTTACCCGGGCAACCTGTGGTCAGCAACAGGATGACAAAACTATAATCCTGACCTCATCAACCAACAGGAAGGGCTGCTCCTATTTCCTATTCCTGTCAAGATGCACAAGTTCAACTGGCAGACACAGAGGCACACAGACACAGAGGCACACAGAGACACAGTCAGCCAGCCAACCAACCAATCATCCATGCTCCACTTCCAATCTGGTCCAGAGGAAAAACTGGTTCATAAAAGCTGTAATTGGTTCATACAACATTTACAACTGGTTCATCATAACTGAATATAACTGGTTTATAACAGATTATAACTAGTTCATAACTGATTATAACTGCCGTATAGCTGATTTTATAACTGAGTTAACTTGTTCATAACTGGTCCTCCATCTTACAACCCTTTCCCCCAACCCCATACGTGGCACCTCTCTCTCTCTCTCTCTCTCCATCCCTCAGGCCTTCCCATTGTCCCTGTTACCGTGTCAACAACCACACCCAAGGTGGAGGTCCGTGAGAACTCTGATGCGGTTCTGAGCTGTGATTTTCGGACAGAGAAGGAACAGAATCCTCGAATCGAGTGGAAGAAGAAAGGAACAGATGTATCATTTGTTTACTATGAGGGACACTTCAGAGGTGATTGGCTGTCCTGGCACATTGTCTTCCATCGCTGTCTTTCTCTTTCTGTCTCTTTTAACCCCTGTCCAGAGCCCATCTCCAGACTCCGATTTCATTTACTCTCCTCACATGAGGGAAATTCATTTTAAGAGCTTCATCAACATAAAGCAGAATGTGATGAACATTACAAAGACATTTGAATGAGAAGTTACCAGAGGATTGATGGTAGTTTAAGTATAAAACTTTTCCTTAAGAAACTAAATATCCATCCCCCCCCCACCCCCCTTCTCTGTGTTGACCGGTTTCCCCTCTCCCAGGTGACTTTGCGGGGCGTGCAAGGATCAAGGGGGCGACGGTGACCCTACAGAGGGTGACCCAGAAAGATGCGGGCGAGTACCGCTGTGAGATCAGTGCCCCTCACGACACCATCACCCTGGGGGAGACTAACATCACCCTCAAAGTCTTGGGTGGGTACCACACCATCTGTCTGATTGGCTGACTGAGAGGGTCTGACTGACTGTGTGTCTGTGTGTTGTCTCAGACATGCTGTTTGTGCACCCCCTTAACCCTGCTGACATTGTGGCTGTACCCTCCCCACAGTGCCCCCCCACACCCCATCCTGTGAGATCCCCAGCTCAGCCCTGACGGGTTCTGTGGTGCAGCTGCGCTGTAGGGACCAGCAGAGCATCCCCCCAGCCACCTACTCCTGGTACAAAGATGACAAGCCGCTGACCCCCTCCCGTATGGCCAACGCCACCTACCACCTTAACCCAGTTACGGGCATACTGGTGAGATACTTTTTAAGAACAGTGTATATGCAGTCATACCATTGATGCTTTGGCACGATTTACTCAATGTATGTGCCAGTAAAGCAATATGAATTTGAATTTGAGAGAACGAGGGCCCAGCCACACACACACTGACTGTGTGTTACATAGGAGCCACACTAGGGCGTCAAGAAAATAGTCTTTTTTTTTTAACCTGCTACACTGGAAGTGTAACTTTTGGCCAGCGAGAGCAATGTGCGAGCTTCTTTATCCTATTTGAGCTGAAAATGGAACCAAAGTGTAACTTCACCTACAGCTCACTTATGCCCAAGTTTCATTGAGATTAATAGGAGCGCCTCACGCTCCGTATACTGTTAGATATGCATCCGGTGTAGCAGGCCTCCAATACAGACTCCAATACATGGAAGTATAACCAACCACTAGCACAGTATATGTTAATATAAACTTCAGTACGACACTCAAACCTTAGCTACAGTTCAGACCAACAGTGGCTACCTACAGGTCACTTCCCTTTGGTCAGACATCAACCCATATAGACCCTTAGTTCGGAAGCACACTGGTAAACTCTAGACCAATTGCCAAAAATACTGTACAGGTTCTGTGCATCATATCCTCTTCCTCTCTCTTTTTCTTTCTGTTGATCCCTCCATCTGTCTCTTTCCCTCTCCTCTGGAAGGAGTTTAAGATGGTGGCGAGAGGCGACGCGGGACAGTACAGCTGTCTGGCATCAAACGAAGTGGGGCCGCCCAAGATGTGTGAGGCTAAACACATGAAGATAGGTGGGTGTGCATGCATGCAAGTGTGTGTGTTATTATAAGAATGATCAAATCAAATCAAATGTTATTTGTCACATGCGCCGAATACCACAGGTGTAGACCTTACAGTGAAATGCTTACTTACAAGCCCTTAACCAACAATGCAGTTATAAGAAAAATAAGTGTTAAGTAAAATATAGATAAGTAAAAATACAGGGGGTACCGGTACAGAGTCAATGTGTGGGGGCACAGGTTAGTCGAGGTAATTTGTACATGTAGGTAGAGTTAAAGTGACTATGCATAGATAATAAACAGAGAGTAGCAGCAGCGTAAAAGAGGGGGTGGGGGAACAATGCAAATAGTCCGGGTAGCCATTTGATTAACTGTTTAGTAGTCTTATGGCTTGGGGGTAGAAGCTGTTAAGAAGCCTTTTTGGACCTAGACTTGGCGCTCCAGTACCGCTAGCCATGATTGTTGTTCATATGAGTGTAGTTTTGTCTTTCCACAAACTACCGTGACTCTCGTGTTTCAGATATGTTTTATTGTGAAGTGTAGGTATATAGGCATACAACTGTACAATTGGTATTCTAAGCTTCTTTTTTACATACAAGAAAACATTAGAACAAATGGATACAACAAAAACAGTAATGAAAAAACCTGAAGAATCAAAAAGAAAAAGAAAAAAGAAAAGACCTCTTGAATATCCCTAAAAGCCGTGGCTTTTGTGGAGCAATAGGTAACGATGCTTCAGGTCCAAGATATTGTGGATACTGGCTTGAGGGTTGGTTACATAGAGGAGAATGTCATCTGCATATAGAGAAATGTTATTTGATGTGTCGTTAGTATTGTAACCAACTAGCGTGACTCTCAACCTCTCTCGCTCCCTCCACTCTCTCTTTCAGAGGATGTAAACATGGCAGGGGTCGTTGCTGCGGTCGTGGTCATCTGTCTGGTCATCGCCATTTGTGGCTTCGGGGGGTACTATGCACACCGTAATGGCTACTTCAGCAGTGAGTCTGTCTGTCCCTCTCTCTGTCTTTCCATGTACATACAATATGTATCTGTCTGCCCGTTTGTCTGTCTGACTGTCTGTCTGTCTGACTGTCTGTCTGTCTGTCTGTCTGTCAGTAAATACAATTTGCAAGTGAAAGTTTTTGTACTCACTTCCTCTTACTTTCTGTCTCCACTCTCCTCCTCTCCCCCCATCCTCCCTCCAATTTCAATCCATCTCCAGGACACAGAGGAAGGTAAGAGCTTGTGTCTCCTTAAAGCCATTCAGAATTATTAAAATATAGTGAACACACCCTGACACTGAATACATCTACATTGCTGTGTAACTACCACGGACTAATAGAGGTGTGTGCGTGTTAATGTGCTGAGTAAGGTCAGTAGAGAGTGATAGGTGTGTGTGATTGAGCCCAGCGGTGCAAGCCTGTCTCTTCTCGCAGAGAGAAACACTAACAGGTGATTTGTGACCCAGTTAAAAAAAACTAGGTTTGTTATTTTGACTGACTGACTCTAGATTAGGCCAGTTAGATGACTAAGAATACTATCATGATTATTTTAAATGAATTACAAATAATAACAATAATTAATCATCCTTTATCTAGGGAAGTCATATTGTGATTTACATCTCTTTTTCAAGTGAACCCTGGCTGCTTATAAACTCCCCTCCCGGCTGAATTGTGATTAGCTTACCTGCTCCGTGTGGTCGTGTTGTTAGTAACCCTGAGCATGGTGTGTGAACCTCATCACCCCCTCACTCAACTTTGACCCCCCCCCAGGTCCTTTTGGATCCCTCAGTGTCACGGTGTGGCCCACATCAGCAGCCAAAACCTCCACAGAACAGAAGACAAGTGAGTCTTACCCACAGACAGACAGAGTAATAGATTTAAAAGTAGACAATTGAACAATTGACAATGAACAGGACTTTACATAGAAGCACACACTGTGTTTGTGTGCGCTTGCGCGTGTGTGCCCAGGAGTCCTTTACAGAAAAGGTTGCCCTTTCAGCTCCCTAGGACCGTGTCCTGTGCTGTGTTAGATGTAGTGGTGTTCTTTGATAGTGGCCAATGTTTTTACTGCGACCACAGCTGCATCACATTTATGAAACTCTCTCCCTCCACTGTGTCAAACAATCTAGTATCTTTATAAATGCCTCTGTCTTCCAGGACGAATGCCAACTACAGCCCTCCGCCCCAAGATGTGAGTAATTTTCTCTGATTTTGTCTGTTGGTGTATTCATGGATGGGTATTATATTCACAGGAAATGTTGACTTGAGCATTACCGCTTACACATTACTTTGAGCACATAACATTTTCTAGATTGATTCTAGATAACATTTTATAACCATATTAAAAGACAATATGATAATTACTGGTAGAATTATCTTGGTGGTAGTAGTAGTAGTAGTAAGTAAAATTCTCCAAATGTTACTAATAATGGAGAGAAAAAGAGCTGAACTGCAGTAGTTCTGACCGAATGAAAATATGCTACTGTTCTTCTCTCTCAGCCTGTGAACTTCAAACACACCCAGTCCTTCATGCTGTGAGGACCTCGACAACCCCTAAAAGAAACCACACACACCAGCATCATGGCAAGACTGGAGTAGTTTTATTCGATCCAAATGAATAGCAAGGAGGCACAGACAACTTAGCGTAGAGGCCCTGTATTCCTCCTGTTTTGCTGTACTTGGGCCCTCAATGCGAGCCTATTATATTAGTCACATGGCACTCTATTCCCCCTCTGGTGGCCAAGTTGTTAAAAATGACATCCCACACAAATGCTCACTTACCCCTCAACTGGCCAAAACATGAACTACCTAAATCTTATTTTATACCAAAGACTTGAACATGGCATCTGAGTGTAATATACTGTAAATATTTTCTGATGGCTTTTGGCTAAGCATAGATTTTTATTTAACTAGGCAAGTCAGTTAAGAACAAATTCTTATTTACAATGGCAGCCTACCCCGGCCAAACCCTAATCTGGATGATGCTGGGCCAATTGTGCGCCACCCTATGGACTCCCAATCACGGCCGGTTATAATACAGCCTGGAATCGAACCAGGGTCTGTGGTGCAGTGCCTTAGACTGCTGCGCGACTTGGGAGCCCACAATGCAGAATAAGAAAATCCATCTTCTTCCGCGGGCAGTACTCGCGGAGACCTCATTCACGGTAAACACTGCATATGTCGGTTCAAAATTACCTAGTTAATGTCTGCGTCAAATTAGCATACTGTAATTTTTAAAAATCCACATCAAAATCCGTCTGTTTTAAGATAGAGATGTTTTTTTGTTGTTGCTTGGGCTGGATCTCAATAATATTAAAGTAGTGTTTGTGAGACCAGGAGACTTCCCGAAAAACACCACTGAGCTCACCAAAATAGTTTTATGGCGGCTTCCTCTCTTTCTTGAATATTGGCCATCCACTATATTGCTTTCAGAACCGTGCATGTGAAGGAAAGGAGAAGCTTGGGGCTCGATTCAATCTGTATTGCTGAAGTTCAGAGCTATGATAGAAATGTAAAGGTTATGTTCCTGTGTTCGCAGAGACTGCATTCACGTTAAACGCTGCATATGTCAGCTCAATCGTAAATTACCTTTATATTTCAAACGTGCTAAAGCTCTGAACTTCAACAGTACTGATTGAATTGAGACCTTTGAGATGGACCCCTGCTCACTCGAAGTTGCCAACATTTTGTGATGCCCAATGCCTTTCAAAAGTAGTTATGTCATATTCTATCTAGGGGCTCTTTTGTAAGTGTTTTCTTGTTTTGTTTAAGCTAAAGTATTATTGTGCTACTGCATTTTTTTTATAATAGAGTATGTTTCTTAGGCAATGGATGAATGAGTTGCTGTTAGTTTATTCTTTGTAAGATGTTTATTCAGTATTAAAGATTTATCCAAAACGTGTTCAATCATTTCTCACCATGTAGTCTCTTCCCACAGCCGCTGGAGCAGGGTGGAGCGCCATGAGTCAGGCGAGCGAGACTCATCATTCAAAATCAGTAAATGATCAAAACATTTTATAAAGTAGAAATGCAAGCATGTAAGGTAGAACATGGTTTGCAAAACCACTCTCACTATAACCCCTTGACTGATTAGCATAAGAAAGCAAAAATGTTCACATTTAATCCAACATCCTTTATTAAATAGTACATTATAATGGTGACATGTAGGACAGAGACAACGTCATCATGGCCAGTGTTCACTTGGCCACTTCCTGCAGCTGGGGCTCTGGAGAAGAGAGAAGGGAGATTGTGAGTAATGCTGGGTCGTATTCATTACTGCATACCGTAGTAAAACACTTTGCAAAGGAAAACAAAAACAAGCGTTTATTGGACAAGTTCCAGTAGTTCCTTTCATGTTTTTGTATATATATTTATCGTTTGGTGCCTAATGAATACAACCCTGGTTGATGGTGAATGAATCCTTTAAACCACCTGTGTCAAACTCATTCCACGGAGGGCCGAGTCTGTGGGTTTTCGCTCCTCCCTTGTACTTGATGAATTAAGGTCACTAATTAGTAAAGAACTCACCTCACTGGTTGTCTAGGTCTTAATTGAAAGGAAAAAACTAAAACACGCAGACACTAGGCCCACTATGGAATGACTTTGACACCCCTGCTTTAAGCATAGAATGAGTGTAAGTTATGTAGGGTGAGATGGTGGTATTACAATTTAGTCTGACTGAGCTACCAATAAATGCTACTACTGCAGTAGAGCTGGGCGACATGGACAAAACCCATATCACAATAAAGAGAAATCAAACGATACGTTTATTAAAATGAATTTACACCCCAGTTACTTTTTTATATTACCCTTTAAACGTCGTAGCTATCAATTGTCCCATTAGCAATCACCCATATTATTTCATACATCACATTTCTCTACTGTAGGCTACTTATCATTATTAATGATATTAGTAAAATGTCTGATCATTTTCAGTTTATCATCCCAGCTCTATACTGCAGTGCATCGCCTTAACGAACCTGTAAATTTGAAGTCAGGGAATTTGGTGAGGTCACCGGTCCCATATAACCTCTGCAGTTTGGTGATCTCCTCTGAGACACCCTTTTCATAGGAGGGGCCTGCATCAACGATCCCACCTGCTGCAGCCCTGGAGAAAAGGGAGAGAGATGGGGAATTAACCTTTAACCTCTTAAGGATCAGACACTTTTTTTCAATTTTCGCCTACAATGACATACCCAAATCTAACTGCCTGTAGCTCAGGACCTGAAGCAAGGATATGCATATTCTTGATACCATTTGAAAGGAAACACTGAGGTTTGTGGAAATGTGAAATTAATGTAGGAGAATAACACATTAGATCTGGTAAAAGATAATACAAACAAAAAAACATGCGTTTTCTATTTATTTGTTCCATCATCTTTGAAATGCAAGAGAAAGCCCACAATATAATATTGCAGTTTAGGCGCAGCAGTGTGTGCAAAGTTTCAGATTGATCCAATGAAGAATTGCAATACTGGACTATTTTGTATCAAGTCTGCCCAAATGTGCCGAATTGGTCAATTGATACATTTTCAAGTACATAACTATAGAGAACATATTAAAATGATACATTAATACAAAATGTAAGTTTACACACTCCCAGGAATGTCATACATGATGGATCATTAGCTTATACACTAACTTTCACACATCTAGCAGGGTGGGTGTGGAGCCAGAGACAGCAGGGGTTCAAACTGTAGAACCCAGTTCCTACATTTGAATATAAAAATTGATTTTATCAAACAAAACTATGCTAGCTTTTATCTCTGGGACCCTTAGGATGACAAATCAGAGCAAGATTACTGAATGTAAGTATATTATTTACCTTCAGAGGTGAATGTATCAAACCAGTTGCCGTGATACGTTTTTTGTTGTTGTGTACTCTCCTCAAACAAGAGCATGGTATTTTTTCACTGTAATAGCTACTGCAAATTGGTGCAGTGCAGTTATATTAACAAGAATTTAAGCTTTCTGCCCATATAAGACATGTCTATGTCCTGGAAAGTTTGCTGTTACTTACAAAAGTCATGCTAATCACATTGGCGCACGTTAGCTCAACTGTCCCGTATACGGGACACCGATCCCGTAGAGGTAAAAAACAACACTGTAGCATAGAATACACTACTCTGTGGTAGGGCTGACCCCATTTTGTCGATAGGCTGTTGGTTGACCCTTTATTTCTTTAGTCGTGGTGTACAAGAGACCTGTCTGATTTGCGCCTATGAGTGGACTAATCCATTGTGGAGGCCGTGGGAATGGCACTGTCCATCACTCCAAGACGTGCTACTGAAATTGTATATGGTTATATTACATAATGATAACATAACAATGATGCAAAACTAATAAAATACATTTATTTTATAACAAATGCGCCTTCTCCCACGTTGGACAGTGGTCACTGTCTGCGGTTCTGAAACACATCAGTGCGCTGTTGAATTGGCACCTTTTCCTAGACCATGTTGCTATGTGCATAATAGCAAAGTTAACCAGCATATTGGTGTTGAGAACAATGCAGCGGAGGCAGCATCAGAATGAGGAGATGAGAAATCAGCCCTTGCCTTATTGTCTAAGAAAGGTGAGGTGAGAGGAAACCAACTTAATTAGGTCTATAAATCAGTAGCCTAACTATTAAATGTGCCTGGCTTTATATAGTCTTAATACCATAACTTACTTAGGCCTATATTTCAATACTTATGTAGGCTACTGTATCAATCATTCATTCATTCATGTCATCACACAGCATATGAGTCATTCATGATTTTAAATGCAATCAAGCGAGCCTTGAATAATTAGCGTACACAATAAATAAACCGTTCCATTTCGGAAATTGCATTCATGAATGAATGCGACTGTTTTTAGTCTTTGCTGTAATAAAGGCTTAACAAAAAAAACATCAGAACAAATTCTCTGGTACGCTTATAATGTATTTTACGTTGTTCCAAATGTTCCGAAAAATTATATTGTAATCTATACAGCACCTGTTTGGCGCACACAATATGCACGCAGCGCTTGCTCCTTACCTTATTTTCTTGATCTCCAGTATTTTCCACAACTAGTCAAATTTATTCCACACATCTGACTTCCCCTTTACCTCATGAGCAACCAGTAAACATTACCCCATTTTTGAGTTTATTTGTCACGTCCTCTGCATCCATTTTGCTGTTATGGCGTTCAGAGTTTGTTATAACCAATTTATTGATGTGATTATGATATGCTACAGGTCAGGCCCTATTGGTCACGTGCATGCGATGCATACATGTGTCACGTAAAGAGAGCAAGGGTTGAGGGAATAGGGAATGTTTTTCCTAAACAAATGAGGAATTTCAGTAACAGAACTTTTCAGTCAGAAATGGCTGTAATTATGTTGCAGCTTCAGCAACATGGACAGCACGATAAACACTTTGATGTTCTGTGGTGGTCACTGCAGCACGGAGGAGAGAGAGAACAGGTGCTAGTCAAAGTCACTCGCTATCTTTTTTTTTTTTTTTAAACAAAGCGCAGCAAGTCTTAGCCCTGCACAATTAAATCAACTGCTGGTCGGACTCCCTCTAGTCATTTTTGTATCTTAATTATTTAATCAAACAGTGTGCTTAAAGCATCAGACAAGCTCAGTGAATATAGTTGATTTGATTAAAACACATAGGATGTCTATATATATGGACAAAATACACGTTTTAAAATTTCAACCAATCAATTGGTCGAAAGAACAGACGAATCTTGGTCACCAAAATTTTTTTTTGTCGGAGACAGCCCTACTGTTGTTGTAGTGGATGAGTTCAAGAAACCACATAACTAATCAGCCCTATAATTATTATACCCTATAATGTCTCAGACATGTATACCCTATAAAAACATATTCAGCATCCTATGCGTTTCATGGATCTTGCCATCTAGGCATATATGGCCGACGTACTGTATAATCAAGTCTGCCAGCTCCGTTCCTGACATTTCTATTTGCAACGTCTGCTTACTGAACGTATGGCCCAGCCTTCTGTAAATTGCTCTGCAGTGCTAAAATGACGTGCAGACTCCCTGCCACCATCTCAGTCATGACATCACGGGTCATTCCACTTAAGCCTAGTTAACTTATTGCCTTCCAACATGAAGAAACATGTACATTAGAGTAGGCCAGCGGTGACAGTCGGACAATAGTGCGGTTATTTATTACACTCACTTGCTCTTGGTGCTGTAGTCGCGGATCTTGTCTAGGAATAGTTTCTGGATAGGGTCCAGGTCCTTGGCCCGGTTGAAGAGGACAGCAGACAGGCCGACATTCCTGCGCAGTGTCAATGACACCGCGGAGCGGAACAGCGAGGACAGACGGAATAGTTTATGAAGCGCCATACTATCAAACGGAGAGAGAGGGACAAATGACAACAGTTAACTTTGACAGTACCAAACTAGCTAACAAACTGAACAGGTATATTACTGACGAAAGCTAAACAGTGCATGTACAGTAGCTAGCTGAAGTTCCTAGCAAGTTAACGTTAACGGTTCCTAGCTAGATAGCTGACGGAAGTAACGTGGCTGTGGTAACTAGTGGAAACCCAACCTGTGCACATCTTCCATACAGGCATCTAAAGCAAAAAAGACATGACACTAGCTAACTTACAGTATTTGAGGAAGTTACAGTATTAGTCGACCCTATGATAACTTTAGCTAGCTAGCTTAGCACTCGCGTTATCATGTTTGTCTCTTACCAGCCAGCTATGACTTGTATTAGCATGAAGACGACGAACATGTAAGATTTGTCGTTAATACAATGAAAACGATTAAAATGCGTTAAATTCTGCTGAAAAACACCACTCACCTTGAATTTGACACTCCTGTACAGGCTGAGCGATTGCTTCCAATGTGATAAACCGCTTTGCATTATGGGTATTCTTTTAATTGGTCGTGTTCGCGAACATCAATGTACATCATGGCTGCGCATCTCTACATGTTGTCCAGCGACAGTTTTTATCCTAGCAATAATGACATAATAATTATGCTTTATTTGCTACCTTATTTGGTATTTTATTTCTGAAATGAAAATCAAACTAGTCAATGCCTTGAAGGTGCATGTCTATGCCCCTGTGGCAATGCACCAACTGTCACACACAAAAAACATAATTGCTGGATTTACACAACTGATTTAGTCTTTCCCTCAACTTCTTTGTGCAGTCCTCTAAATCTGTTTTTCTTTAGGCTATTGAAAACTGGATTTACAGTGTGCACCAGTAACCTACTGATTGTATTCATCTCATTCATCAGATTTTAGTTGTCTATGATCTCCTACTGAAATAAAATACTACATGGGCTATAATAAGATGACAATAAGCAATCATGTGGTGTTGATCAAAGCAAAATCAAACAGGACAAAAAATACATATATTTTTAAATTACATACCTTCCTACGCTCTCAGAAGAAAAGGTACAGAATTGTAGCCTAGCTTAGGCCTATTTAAATGGATACAAACTAGAGGGCTGCATTCCCGCGGGATGCCTGCAGGACCTGCGGGTCCCGACAGAGATCATTGTGGCGCAGTCTGCATTTTTCATGCAGAGGGTGGGAGCGGGCAGTCAGACAGACTACTTAGGGAGGATGTCAGAGATTTAGCAGTGTAGTGCCAGGACAACAACCTCTCCCTCAACGTCAGTTTGACCAATGAGCTGATCGTGGACTATAGGAGAAAGAGGGGACAGCACGCCCCCATCCACATCGATGGAGCTGTTGTGGAGCGGGTCGAGATCTTCAAGCTCCTTGGCGTACACATCACTAAGGACTGAATATGGTCCATACACACCCGCACAGACGTGAAGAGAGCACGGCAGCGCCTCTTCCACCTCAGGAGGCTGAAAAGATTTGGCATGGGCCCTCAGATCCTCAAAAAGTTCTACAGCTGCACCATCGAGAGCATCATGACTGGCTTCATCACCACTTGGTATGGCAATTGCACCACCCTTGACCGCAAAGGGCTACAGAGGGTGGTGCGGACAGCCCAGTACATCACTGGGGCCGAGCACCCGGCCATCCAGGACCTCTATATCAGATGGTGTCAGAGGAAGGCCCGAAAAATGTCCAAAGACTCCAGTCACCCAAGCCATAGACTCTTCACTCTGCTACCATCCGGCAAATGGTACCAAAGCATCGTCTCTCGGACCAACAGGCTCCAAGACAGCTTCTACCTCCAATCCTTAAGACTGCTAAATAGCCAGACTGCTAAATAGTCAATTAATGGTACCCAAACTATCTGCACTGACTCTATCTTGCACTGACCCTACGCACAATCACTAGATGTTACTTGGTCCATACTCTACCCACATGTACATATTACCTCAACTTCAACTACCTCAACTAGCCGGTGCCCCCGCACATTGACTCTGCAACGGTACCCCCCTGTATATAGACCTCCCTACTGTCACTTATTTTACTTCTGCTCTTTTTTTCTCAACACTTTTTTTGTTGTTGTTTTATTTTTACTTTTTTTGTTTAAAATAAATGCACGGTTGGTTAAGGGCTGTAAGTAAGCATTTCACTGTAATGTCTGCACCTGTTGTATTCGGCGCATGTGACCAATACAATTTGATTTGATTTGATTTGTTATATACACTCTATATACACACTCCCTCACACACACTACACTGTCACTCCCACACAAAACCCTCACACATTCACATACACACACACACACACACTTTTACACTCATCATTTGATGCTGCTACACTGTTCTTTATTTTACTCGTATTGTTATCTATCCAGATGCCTAGTCACTTTACCCTGCCTTCATGTACATATCTACCTCAAATACCTCGTACCTCTGCACATTGATCTGGTACTGGTACTCCCTGTATATAGCTCCATTCTTGTGTATTTTATTCTATTGTGTTAGTTACTATGACATTTTTTATTATTATGTTTAAACTCTGCATTGTTGGGAAAGGTTCGTAAGCAAGAATTTCACTGTAAAGTCTGCACACTTGTATTCGGCGCATGTGATAAATACAAATGTATTTGATTTGAAAATATTTTTTGTTGTCCTGTAGATTATTTGGAAACGGTCCTCTTTCTGCTTTGTATGCGTAGGGGCTCTGCATGGTCAATCCAATGTCTGCAGTGGCCATACAGCATTTAGTGCGATGCAGCCTCCGCAGAAGTCAGAGCATTCATACTTCTTGCGCTTCGCGGAGCAGAGCTGTTGTGAAGGAAGTTGTCAAGGAAGTGAGTTTGTGTTTATACAGGACCTCCTGCCCCCACCTAAGGTCAACCTATCATGTAAATGTGGAGCTATATGGAGCCCTCCGCATTGTTAAGACATTTGGGAGGCGCACAGCGATGCGGTACAAAGCTCGATTTGGCCTCTGCGTGCCCCTAGAGGCTACGCAATTGCGTCAAATCCTCTGTACGGAGCCACTTAATCACAATTCCAGAGCAAGCATAAATTGGCTTTAACAATGCAGACGGCTCTGCATAGCTCCGCATTGACATGATTGGTTGATGGTAGGTAGGGGCGGTACATCCTGTATAAACACAAACTCACTTCCCTGACAACAAAAACATGGATAAACTTTGACAAAAGACTATCAGAACAGCTTCACAAATAAATAACATGTTTATGATACCTCATGTAGGGATTTCAAAGACACAAAAATTAGTTTGAGGTAATGGAGATAGATGCGGTAATGAGGATAATGGATTAAATGCAGACCATGGGGAATAGAAGGACGCTGGATTGGATCACGTTCAACAAATCTGATCTAACACAGTGGATATTTGTTAAATCCTTAATGATTTATGTATTGTAACAGGCCCATAATGTGGTTACTAAAATCCGATTTGGATATATTTGGCTGTTTTTGCTGCATAACATTTAGAAGTTGTCCCTTTTCAGGTTTAGAAAAAGTGACTGTTAAATGCTAACTCCCATTCGTATAAACTGGTAGGGTACCAAAAAATGTATGCAGCATTGAAGGTCCCCAAGAACACAGTGGCCTCCATCATTCTTAAATGGAAGAAGTTTGGAACCACCAAGACTTCCTAGAGCTGGCCACCCAGCCAAACTGAGCAATCGGGGGAGAAGGACCAAGAACCCGATGGTCACTCTGACAGAGCTCAAGAGTTCCTCTGTGGAGATGGGAGAACCTTCCAGAAGGACAACCATCTCTGCAGCACTCCACCAATCAGGCCTTTATGGTAGAGTGGTCAGACTGAAGCCACTCCTCAGTAAAAGGCACATGACAGTCCGCTTGGAGTTTTCCAAAAGGCACCTAAAGGACTCTCAGACCATGAGAAACAAGATTCTCTGGTCTGATGAAACCAAGATTGAACTCTTTGGACTGAATGCCAAGCGTCACATCTGGAGGAAACCTGGCACCATCCCTACAGTGAAGCATGGTGGTGGCAGCATCATGCTGTGGGGATGTTTTTCAGCGGCAGGGACTGGGAGACTAGTCAGGATCGAGGAAAAGATGAAAGGAGCAAAGTAGAGAGAGAGATCCTTGATGAAAACATGCTCCAGAGTGCTCAGGACCTCAGACTGGGGCAAAGGTTCACCTTCCAACAGGACAATGACCCTAATCACACAGCCAAGACAAAGCAGGAGTGGCTTTGGGACAAGTCTCTGAATGTCCTTGGGTGGCCCAGCCAGAGTCCGGACTTGAACCCGATTGAACATATCTGGAGAGACCTGAAAATAGCTGTGCAGCAACGCTTCCCATCCAACCTGACAGAGCTAGAGAGGATATGCAGAGAAGAATGGGAGAAACTCCCCAAATACAGGTGTGCCAAGCTTGTAGCATCTTACCCAAGAAGACTCAAGGCCTTAATCAAAGGTGCTTCAACAAAGTATTGACTAAAGGGTCTGAATACTTATGTAAATGTGATATTTCAGTTCTTAATTTATAATTAATTAGCAAAAACATCTAAAAACCTATTTTTGCTTTGTCATTATGGGGTATTGGGTGTAGATTGATGAGGAGAAAAAATCAATTTAATCCATTTTAGAATAAGGCTGTAACGTAACAAAATGTGGAAAAAGTCAAGGGGTCTGAATACTTTCCGAATGCACTGTGTATGGAGCTCTGCGGAGCCCTCTGCATTGTTACACAATTTGGGAGGCGCACAGCGATGCGGTACAGAGCTCGATTTGGTGTTGCATCACACCCTCCATACTGAGCCTCCGGGTCTCATTGCAAAGAGCAAGCATAAATTGGCTTTACCTCAGTCCTCTACTGTTTTTAATGTACATCTGTGATATTTATTACCCCCACCCAAGAGAGGGACATGTGGCCCAGTTTGCAGATGATCTCTGTTATTGGGCCTCTGTTATTGGGCCTTTGCCTATGCTGGAAAAAAGCTACAGAGGAGCATAACAGAGATCGAGAACTGAGCCAATCAGTGGTGGGTCAAGCTCAACCCCCTGAAGACCCAGTGCTTACTCTTCTCCAGAAACCCCAAAAGAACCAAGCAAGTGCACCTTAAACTGTATGGACAGGCACTCCAGACGACCCCAACGGCTAAATTCCTTGGGGTCACATTTCAAGAAAACATGTCCTGGAGTGCCCACACGGAGTGCATGGAGAAGGAGGGAAGGAAGTGAATGAACCACCTGAGGGTACTCTGCAGAAGGAAAGGAGGAGGCACGCCTGGAACAGCCATCAGAGTGTACCAGAGCTACATCCCGCCACTCTTTGAGTATGCTACACAAGCCTGGTGTAACGTGGGGAGGTCTCATGTCAGACTATTCAAAACTTTGCCATCAAGATGGCATACAGACTCCCCACGTACACAAACACACACTACATACATTAACTTTCAGGATTGAGAACAGTAGAGGAGAGGATGGCTGTTCTGGGGCGCAGGTTTACCCTCAGGTTGGTGGACAATCCATCTCTGAAACCCATGATTCGGGAGGAACAAGCTGACCGCCCAGATTTTTATC